TAAGGATTTGATTTGTCAATGATAAATCAATCCAAAGATTGGTTTGTTGTTGGACGTACTTTATTGTTAATGTTTGATTATTACAACAAGATACCTCTAGCGAGTTAATATTACTTGTCCAAAGACTTGATATTGATGGTGCATTGTGTATCTTGAGATGGGTTAAACCATTATTTGAATATATATTTATAATTATTTATTTTTTATATAATGTGAGCATAATTAGTTTATTTCTCGTGTTCTAAATCCAGCTACAATTGCTTCTGTATCTACCAATTTAAATTCTGTTCCAATCCTCAAAAGTATGTTTCCTACTTTGGTCTGTTCTGAAGTCAATTTAGCGTCAGTACCTAGTAACACTTGGTGGTTAGACTCAGGTGCAACTACTAACATCAGTGTTTCTATGAAAGGTTGCATAAGCTACCGAAAGCCAATTGATTCTGAAAGATGGATATATGTTGGAGATGGAAAATCGGTAGAGGTGGAAGCTATAGGGCATTTTAAATTGTTATTGAGTACTGATTTTTATTTGGATTTGAAAGACACTTTTGTTGTGCCGTCATTTAGACGGAATTTGGTTTCAGTTTCTTATTTGGACAAATTAGGTTATTTGTGTTCATTTGGAAACAATAAGTTCAGTTTGTCTTTTAATTCAGATACTATTGGAACTGGTTCACTTTTGCCTTATGATAATCTGTATTTACTTGATACTGTGACCACCTATAATGAAACCCTTAATATAAAATCATGTGGTACTAAACGTAAAATTGAAAATACTCACTCAGGTGCATTATGGCATAAGTGCTTAGGTCACAATCGAATCGTGACGTTTGAGCTTGTGTTACACTCTTAAAGATATGATAAAGAGTATGATTTGTCATTCCACCTTACCGGAATCACTTTGGGGAGAGACACTAAATACGACAACTTATATTCTAAACAGAGTACCAATTAAAGCAGCTACCAAAATACCTTATGAGCTTTGGACTGGGCGACAACCTAGTCTGAAGCATTTCCATGTGTGGGGTTGTTCAGCTAAGGCAAGACCTTATAAGCCAAATGAAAAGAAATTGGACTCCCGAACAGTAAGTAGTTATTTTATTGGTTATGCTGAAAGTTCCAGGGGATATAAATTTTATGATCTCACATTAAAGACAATTTTTGAGACGGGAACTGCTACATTCTTTGAGGATATTGAGTTTGGAGGGAAGAATAAAATTTAGAAATTTATCTTGGAGGAAGAATCGGTAACAATTTCAGAACCGATTCAAATAGTTACTTTTGATAAAGTAAGTTCGGAACCACCACAAGGCATTGTTGATAAACCCCTTACTCAAGATGATTTGGTTGTTTATGAAGAACAAAATCAAGATTCTCAAGAACCTGTACATCATGAGTCAATAACTTTGCGGAAATCCACTAGAGAAAGAAGAAGTGCTATTTCGGATGATTACATGGTATTTCTTCAGGAATATGAGGAAAACAATGATATAATGAAAGATGACCCAATTAACTTCCGTCAAGATATGCAAGGTTCAAACTCTCAAAAGTGGATTGAAGCAATGAATGAGGAGTATAAGTACATGCAAGACAATAAGGTTTGGGAACTTGTCCCATTACTAGAAGGTATGAAACACATTGGTTGCAAGTGGATGTTTAAGAGCAAACAGGATTCTAAAGGTAATGTGGAAAGGTATAAGGTTCGTCTGGTAGCTAAGGGCTATACCCAAAAGGAAGGAATTGACTTTAAAGAGACTTTCTCTCTAGTTTCATCGAAAGACTCTTTTAAGACAATCATGGCTCTTGTAGCACATTATGATTTGGAGCTTCATCAAATGGATGTCAAGACGACGTTTCTCAATGACAACATTGATGAGACGATTTGTATGGTACAACTAGAAAATTTTGTGCAGAGAGATTCAAAGAATATGGTTTGCAAACTGACAAAATTCAGTTATGGACTAAAACAAGTATCTCATCAACGGTACTACAAATTTCATCAAGTAATTATCTCATTTGGCTTCAAGATGAATATTGTTGATGATTGTGTATATCACAAGTTTAAGGGGAGTAAGTATATTTTCCTGATCTTGTATGTTGATGACATTCTACTTGCCACTAATGATATAGGCATATTGCACGAAACCAAGAAAATTTTATCAAAGAATTTCGAAATGAAAGATCTTGGTTATGCGTCTTTTGTATTAGGAATTCACATACACCGAGATCGATGTCTGGGTATTTTAGGATTATCACAAAGGAGCTATATCAAAAAATTCTTAAAAGGTTTGACATGCTTGAATGTAAATCCGGGGATACTCCAGTTGTTAAGGGAGACAAGTTTAGTCTCAATTAGTGCCCAAAGGGGAATTTAGAAATTGAGGAAATGCAAAAGATTTCCTATGCATCAACTGTAGGGAGTTTGATATATGCCCAAGTATGTACGCGTCCAAACATAGCATACATAATTGAGGTTCTAGGCAGATATTTAAGCAATCCAAGAATGGACCATTGGAAAGCAGCAAAAAAAAAAGGGTCATAAGATATTTAAAGAGAACAAAAGATTATATGCTCACATACAAGAGGTCAGACCACTTGGAGATCGTTGAGTTTTCTGACTCTGATTTTGCAGGATGTCAAGAATTTGTAGCATGCTATGAGGCATCAAATCATGGAATATGGCTGAGAAATTTTGTCACAGGGCTGCAAATTGTGAAAGACATTAAAAGACCATTTAAGTTATATTGTAACAATAAATCAACTGTATTGTTAAGGAAAGAGTACAAAGTGGACAGATTTCCATAGAACACTTAAGGGCAAACTCCATGATAGTATATCCTCTAACTAAAGAACTTCCGCCCAAAGGTCTTTCATGAGCATGTTGCTCACATGAGTGTTTTACAGTTTGAGGAATTTGTGGTTTAGTGGGAGTTAGTCACTTTCATATATTTTATGTTCTATGTGTAATTTCATATATGTATACATTGATTTTTGGACATATTTGATTATCTATAGATATGTGGTTTTTTTGTTCATTCATTACACTTTGTACATTAAGGATATTATATCGATCTCGATAAGTTAAAGTTTGGACCAGTTGAAAATAGACGTGTACAGATCACCTTCACGTAATTTTTCATGCTACATATTTCATGATGAATCCATGTCATTTGGTTATGTTAGGATGAGTAATCATTGTTGGTTTTAGTTGCGATGATGCAATGAAATGTTGGTTTTGTTCTATATCCTGATATGATTAATGGACAAGACTTTTGGAGTATGCTAAAGGAATATAATGACAATTTTGAGCTCATAAAGTCTAACACATTTGTAAGGTTGTAAGGACATATATATTTGTGACCAGTGGGAGATTGTTGACAAATTTTGGGTCATGTATATATATGATACATAATTTAAATGTGTTAGGGCCATTATTTATTAAGCCAAATAATAAAGTGATCTGACTAAATTAAAAAGTTTGGTTAAAGGCATATGTCATGAAAATAAAATTGTGTAGAGACCATATAACAATTTCTAATTTGATGAGGGGCCAAATTAGAAATACTAAAACTTAAGTAATTAACCTAATTCTGGTTATTTTAAGGGGTCATGGTCTCCTTCTAGGAGCACATTGACAAAACGTAAGTTTCATTCCTGTTCCTTTCTTTCTATCCCCATCAAGAGAGAAAATCAAGAGGAAAATACAGGTGCTCTTCAGGTGGAAGACCATAAGATCAATATAGTGCTCTACAAAGACATAATCATTATGGCTAATTCAGGTACGCTTTCGCATTCAATTTACAACATGTTTATCAGTATGAGACTACGTTTATATTTGATCGTTAGAATCAAAATTAGGATTATTATTATTATTAATTTTTCGACATGTTGAACGTGCATTTCGAGTCTTTCAATCTCGATTTTCAAGTATACGTGATCCGACATATTTTTTGGATGCTCATACATTAAATAACATAATTTATATATATATATATATATATATATATATATATATATATATATATATCATATTATATAATATGATTGTTTGAGGATAAACAACACATTTATCTAGATCATATTGATTATAATATTTAAAAAAATGAGATGTCAATTATTAATATATCTTCAAGTCTTCATCCTAATTTTATATCTAGATATTTTTAAAGAAGAACAACATTTCAAAATAGAAATACTCACTACCAACTTTAAAGAGATTTGATAGAACATATTTAATAAAAGCTTGGAAGAAAAAATAATAAAATTTAATTTTATGTATTATATTTTTTAATATTTATTATATTTATTTAAATATTATGTATTTTATATTATTTTTACATTAAAATGAGGTAATGTATCATTAATTAAAATAATTAATTATTTAATGCATATATTTATTTTTATTAAAATATTAAAATAATATATAAAAAATATATAAAATAATAAATTGTTAAGAAATATTTAAAATTCTTATCATTAAAATAAAATTAAATGAAAATTACTTAATATGAAACATCTCTTAAAATTTTTGCAAACCTGAAGGTGGGAAAGAGACTGTGAGAGATGACAGTAAGCATGACTCAGATAGAGTGGAACCTGAAGAAGAACACCAATGCACATGAGATTTATAAACTTGAGGGTAAAAAGGAAGACGAGGGTTAAGTTTTTATTTTATTTTTTATATATATATAAAATACATCATAACTTGTGTAATTCAATTTCATTTTTTATTTTTTCCTCAAATTAAAAAAGTTTGCATACCATGTTTTTAAATAAGTTCTTTTATATTTTTTTGGTCGTGACACGTGGTCAAACATTCTCTTTTTAAGCTCCATTTATATACAGTATTTATTGTTATGTTTATGATTATATTATTAAATCAATAAAAAATAATTTTCATTGCTGTTAACCCTCGTAGTGGTTGTTCCTGTGTTGGAAGTGGGAAGAAGCTAAAACCCTTCCATGGTGTTTGCTGCATCTTCGTAGCTGAGACCTAAACCATGGTGGGTCCCATTCTTCGTTCTCTCTGGTCCTCTACCAGAAAATCCTTCTCCTCTTCTTCTCCTCCTTTAACCCACTCCCTCTTCTTCTCACGCGCCTTCGCCGCCGCTCCAGCCGCCGCCCCCGCCGTCGCTACTACAGCCTCCTCCCTCGACCCCACCCGCCTCCGCAACGTGGCCGTGATTGCCCATGTAGACCACGGCAAGACCACGCTCATGGACCGCCTCCTCCGCCAGTGCGGCGCCGACATCCCCCACGAGCGCGCTATGGACTCCATATCGCTCGAGCGCGAGCGTGGCATCACCATCGCCTCTAAGGTTCGCGCCCTTCAATTATCCAACGCGTCCACCTCGTTTTCAATCGAATCAGCTAGATCGTTGCGAATGCGAGAACGCTAACAACGTGTGGTTGGTTTTTCAGGTTACGTCTGTTTCGTGGAAGGAGAATGAGCTGAACATGGTTGATACTCCTGGACACGCTGATTTTGGTGGTGAGGTGAGGTTTTCAACGGAATATTGTCCCAAATATTTTGGAACTACATATAGTTAATAAGGGCATGTTTTCTTCTTCTTATAATTTTGTTTTTTCTTTTAGAAGTTATTCTCAAAAAGCTTGTCCAAACATACGTTTGTTCCAAGTTAAAATTAGCTTATATATAAGCTAATTCGTGTTCTCTTGTATCTGCTTCTCTTTAAAAATAAAACATGCCTAAGTTAGTTTTGTCTTATTGAATATTTATAGAGAAATTTATCCAAACAGATTCTTAGTCTTCCATGTTTGACTGCAAAATGGAAACTGCTTATCTGATTTGAAAAATATTACCAAGGTGGTGACTTGTACAAAGCTTGTCATTGTCACTTAAGATGCCTTTTGTATCTAGTTTTGTGAATATGAATTTGGAAGTGATTTTGCAGTTAATCAGTGGAAACTATATACTGTTTGTTGTGCAATCTGGTTGCTTTTCTTATTTTTATGTTTGGTTGGTGAGTAGGTTGAGCGTGTTGTTGGTATGGTGGAGGGAGCAATTTTGGTTGTTGATGCTGGTGAAGGTCCACTTGCACAAACAAAGTTTGTTCTTGCAAAGGCCCTGAAGTATGGATTGCGGCCTATTCTTCTTCTAAACAAAGTAGACCGTCCTTCAGGTAGTCATCGCATGATTCTCTGCTATTAAATGAAATAGAATTGTTTTAATTGCACAATTCGACCCTCACTATCATCATTTCTTGAATTTAGTCCTCCATTTTTTTTGCGCATATTTGATCTCCTACTATTTGAATTGTTTTATTTGGTCCTTCTATCAACTTGACATCTGATATTTAATTTTGGCATGGAAGTAGAGTGCTGACATAGATGCGTGGTAGAGTGTTACATTATCATTTATGTTAAGTATTGGATGTTATTTAAACAAGGGGATCAAATACAGTAAAAAAAAAACAGGGTGTAATATCACGAAGTATAGATGATACTTAAATGCAATTAATCCAATAATTTTTTTTTTTAATGGTTAGAAAAATCTGATTTGTATCTATTGTGTACTTCTGTAATTATCAATTGTGATGGAGTCCTTGGAATTTATTTTATATAGTTACTGAGGAGACATGTGATGAAGTTGAGAGCCTGGTGTTTGATCTATTTGCCAACCTGGGTGCTACAGGTACAAACATGGAAATATCTTATAATTATATTTATTTTACTTGAAGGTTATGTAGTCTAAAGTCTGTTCTCTGGGATTTTATTATTATTTTAATTGTGTCTAGAGGAGCAACTAGACTTTCCTGTTCTTTATGCTTCTGCTAAAGAAGGATGGGCATCCACCACGTTTACCAAGGATCCTCCTGCTGAGGCCAAAAATATGGCACAGTTGCTTGATGCAGTTGTAACAAATGTCCCACCACCAAATGCAAACATTGATGCGCCTTTCCAAATGCTGGTTGGTATTTAGAATTTGCCAAACTTGCTTGTCTGAGAAGTTGCCCTTTGGGGAAGTTGTCTTATTGATGCAATGTTTTTTTTCTTTTGTTCCCAACACACTTTTCTTTTATCAAATGCAATTTTTACTGATGATTCAGATGACTTAATTCTAATTAATATTGTGGACATTATAAATGGTCCTTGTTCATTACTCAGAAAATCTACTTTATCTAATTCATACAAGTCACAGTTAATTTTAGCCTTTTAGGAGCCCAAAAGTTAAAACATAATAGCTTTAGCAAGCTTTGGATTCATTTTCTTTCTCTTGTACCCTATTTGAGTTATTGGTTCTTCCATGAACTTTTCTGTATGTATACTTGGGATCAGTGAAATACCATGCTTAATAGTGCTTTTCAGGTTTCAATGATGGAACGAGATTTCTATCTTGGGCGAATTTTGACTGGACGCATATTCTCTGGGGTTGTTCGGGTTGGTGACCGGGTTCATGGGTTACGAAATAAAGATTCTGGTGCTGAAAAGATTGAAGATGGAAAGGTTTGTTGGTATATTAGCTTGGAATTGCTATTATAGATGGATACTACGGTTGGTAATGTTTCAGCTAACGTGAAATTTTTATCAAGTTACCCTGTAATTACTCTTATTTTTCCAATTCATTGGTGTATTCTGTTGAACTTGGTGGTGGTATTATTATGGAATACATTTTAAAAGTTTGTCTGCGTTATCCCTAATAAGAATATCAAGAATTGCAACAATATTTAGTGTGAGGTAAGCATGTTTTCCTTTATTTTAGTATGGCGTCTTTTATTGCCAAATATATCATACATACTTCCTTTTAGGTTTAGAATAAAGTGCATAATAAGCAAGTAACCTTTCTATATGTCTAATCTTTCCATCCGAACATAATGTTGACATTGAATTTTACCAAACTACTTGGAAATGAACAGTAAAACTGTCATCAACATTAACAATTACAGTTCGTGTCTCTGAGAAGGCCAATAATATTCATATCTAGATATCTATCATTTCCTTAATCAACTCTTTATGGAACATAATCAGTGAGTTTTAAACATGTAGAGTAGATTATGTTTTTTGTTCTGCAAGTTTATTCTATGCTCTTGGCAATGCTTAAGCTTAAAACATATACCTGAACCCGAGTATTCAATTAAAAGTCATTTAGTTATATTCAAAATACAGTGGAAATCATAATAACTAAGAAGTTGCTGAAAGTACTAAGTATTTACAAATGCCTATATGAACGAAATGTTGAAGTGCTTAGTGTAGTCTTTTTTTTTTTTTTTGTTAAAAAATAATAGCATTTATGAAATTAAGATATCTTGACTTTCTACTGGCAGCTCTATTTTAATACATTTTTTACTTTTTAGGTGGTGAAACTGATGAAAAAGAAGGGTACAAACATGGTTCTAACTGATTGTGCTGGAGCTGGTGATATAATATCAGTTGCTGGCCTGTCAAGTCCATCAATAGGCCATACAGTGGCAACTGTGGAGGTATTTATTTTTCAGTATATACATATGGTTTGGCTCCTTATTTTTTGCCATTTAAGTTAATGAAAGTGGCGATCAGTCATTTGATAATGTCTATACTATTTTTTTAACTACTTGTAAGCTAATGAATATTTAAACTTTAAATATTGATTTACTTTGACATGTAACTGGGCATTTACTGTTTGTTCAAGTTGTATTTTTTTTTTTCAATAATTTTCCTGAGGATAGCCATTTGTTCACTGGTTGAGATGAATGCTAAACTCTTGATATTTTTTTAAATATATTTTCAATTGAATATAAAGTTAATGTTCTATATTTTGTGAACCTTTTGAGCATGTTAGTAACTTGAGTAAACGTTTTTATGTCCCAGATTATGTCTGCTTTGCCCACAATTGAATTGGACCCTCCGACAATTTCCATGACTTTTGGTGTGAATGACTCCCCATTGGCTGGTCGTGATGGCACTCATGTAAGTGGTGTTTGTCTTACCTTTACATTCTTTTGCTGCCTTTTGTTGCTTGTGCAAAAAGCCTTGAGTGTGCTTCTCAAATCCCAAGTTCCCAACTCACCCATATCCTTTTGTTGGCTTTGAATATAATCAGTATTCTCTAGCTTTAGCTTTTGCATAAACAGTTCTTATGTTTGTACTTATTGGACACAATATTGAGTATAGATTAATGGTGAACGTTTTTGTAGTTGACTGGGGGGAGAATTGGTGACCGACTGATGGCTGAAGCTGAAACCAACCTTGCCATAAATGTGCTTCCAGGCTTATCAGAATCATTTGAAGTTCAGGGAAGAGGAGAGCTACAGCTAGGTTTGTTCCTGTTTTGTTGAAATTGCTTGATTCTCACTGTTACATTTATACAAAATCTCCATGATTACACAGCTGCTTATGGCATCTTCGTTAACAGGTATTTTAATTGAGAATATGAGACGAGAAGGATTTGAGTTATCTGTCTCTCCACCTAAAGTCATGTGAGTTTCCAAGGACTTAATAAGCTCCAAATTATTTGTCTTGTTATCAGCTTTGACACAATGTGGTTTTGCTTGCCTAGCACTACATTTGGGTGTTGCATGCTATTTAAATATTGTGTCAATGCTGGAAACTTTGTATTTACTGTATAGTGAACTTAGTTTACATGGAAAAAATAGAGATTACAAGAATGAAATACGTAAGTGCTTTGTCATAGGAAAAGATAGAAGAGGGTAATAGGTATATGGTAGTAATGTGATAATATGATCAGATAGAGAAAAACCAATACTCCCTGTTTACACTGCTATTCTAGGTCATGCACAAGTCCCTGCCACATAAAATGCTAATGAGACTCCTGAAACAGCAAGATTCTGATTTCTATTAATAAATAATGATGTTCAAGAATAACATCCAATAAGATCAGAGCTTGCTTGTGTCTCTTAGAATAGTTTTGATGGCTGGTCTTCTATTTTTGCTTTCCTTTATGGATTTTTTAATAGATCTTGAAAAAGGTCTACCCATCTAAAATATTTAACCTAGCCAAATTTTTTTGTACTTTTTGGTGGTTTAATGGTTCTGACTATGAAGTCATATTATACATTTCTGAGCTCATGTATCTTTTTCATTTTTTTGTACACTGGTTTCATGAACTTTTCTATGGGTTTATCAGGTATAAAACTGAAAACAGTCAGAAGCTTGAGCCAGTAGAAGAAGTTACAATTGAGGTAATAATTCAATTTGTCATTCATAGTATGCTTGTCCAAGAGTTTGGACTTCTATATTCTAACAAAATAGTGGATCTATTCCAGGTGAATGACGAGCATGTTGGCTTGGTAATGGAGGCCTTATCTCATAGACGAGCTGAGGTTACCGACATGGGTCCTGTTCCAGGAACTGTTGGTCGAACTAGATTGTCTTTGACTTGTCCATCAAGGTTAGCTGAGTTATCTTTCTCGAATTTGTCTTTTTAATCTGTTTTTCTGCCAGCACTTAAATGGTATTAATTTTCGTATTGTATTACCATTGGTAAAATATATATCTATTTAATGAAAATACTATACAAGCATGGTTTTGAAGAAATCACATTCTCAGGTCTCTTGTTTCTTTCTTATTGTCCTTTCCTTTGCCCTTTTTGGGGTGATGATAACCTCTTGTAATCCTAGTCGCTTTCTAAATTAACGTTGCTTCTAGATTACCTGGAAAGAGAAGAAAGGGAATTAATCTTGAACTAAGCGTGCTTTGAATTATTGGACATCAGTTAAACATTCAAGTATAATTTTCTTTAGTTTTTATCTCTCTTAAAAATAGTTTCTGGAATCATGGTTAGTCCTCATTTCTGGTTGCTTCCCTACTGTGGTTGGGTCCCACATAGCTACTTGAGTATTTCTGGAATACTGTTCATGGATGTTCGTTAATATATTGTATCATCATCAATGGAGATATTACATTTTTGGTATTATGATTCTAGTGAAATCAGACCTTATGAAGCATGCAAGAACTCTAATAACTTCTTGAATTTGTTTGATCAGGGGCCTGGTTGGGTACAGGAGTGTGTTCAGCAGTGACACACGTGGAACTGGATTCATGCATCGTGCTTTCCATGGTATCCATTTTATCCATAAAATTAATATATTTTTCTTTGAACTGGCATGTAATGATTTGTTTGCTTTATGATTTGCAAGTTATATTGTTTAGTTGCTCCCATGAGGTTTTGCTTATTTTATGCCAACAGAGCTTATGCTTACCCCCTCCCTCTTGCAATGCAGCTTTGATAATTTTTAATTATTTTATTTTTTAAATATGGATTTTATTGTAATGTTGCAGCATATGAACAATTTCGCGGCCCTCTTGGCAATGTCAGAAAAGGAGTACTGGTATGTTTTTCTGCCGCTGTCCTTACTTAAAGAGCTTAACAATAATTAAACTACACTTGGTTACTACTTACACAATACACTTCATGTTTCAAATCATTTAGCTTGTTTTAACTGTGTGGTTTTATTTCCTGTGGTTATCCATTGTTGTTTACTTATTTGAACAGGTGTCAATGGGTTTTGGTACTATCACAGCTCATGCATTGATGAGCTTAGAAGCTCGAGGGACTCTTTTTGTAACTCCTGGAATGGAGGTTAGAATTTTGCTTTTTTTCATGCATTATATTTTATATGTAACATGACTTCTGTGTCATTGTGTGTTTAATTTGAAGTTCTTATCTTTGTATGCTGCTAATGTCTCTATTGCAATTTTCATTTTTTAATCATCATGCTTGTTCTCTTCAAAATAATAAATTAGTCTGTTACCTCTCGCATACTGTTTTGCCTACTATGGGTTGATGATGAGTTCATTGTACTCATTCAAATTGATTTTTTATTTAATTCTGATCCAAGATGACTTTCTGATAGCAAGCTTTGTGTCCACATGTTTTTCTTGCTTATACTTAGTTACCATTTATCTCAATATTCACTACGTCGCATTAATTGCTCGAGTCCATGTAGTTTGAAATCTCTTTCTGCTTTGCTTTTTTTTTTTTTTAATCTAGGGAGTTTGGGACTGCTAAAGATAAATTTAGAAGAGGATTTTCAAGTAAAATATTTTTAGCTATCAATCTAGCTATGATTTTTCTTCCCAAAAACTGTAGGTATTTGATGACAAATTGTGATTAAACACTTCGACCTTGCATTGAAGCTTTTAAGTTTAACAACATAACAATGTGCATAGCTTTTTTGGTTTTATTGTATATATAAGCTATGCTTGCTATAGTACTTACTGATTTTTGGTTTCCAGACGTATGATGGAATGATTGTTGGAGAACATTCACGGGATACAGATCTTGATGTAAGAAGTGTACTTGGCTTGAATGCTAGTTCTATATCAAAGTTGGTGACTTGCTGACAAAGACTGATATTTCAGGTGAATCCAGTGAGGGCCAAAGAACTTACAAATGTGCGTGCTGCTTCCAAAGATGAGAATGTGAGGCTGACTCCCCCTCGCCTGGTATGTATTTTGTCTGACTAAATTATGCTGTTGCAGCTTGCTTATTTTAGACAATAAGAATTCTAATAACTACATAACCAAGAAGAGTTCGTGATTTCTATGCATTCATGAGCAATTAGTTTTAGGATTCATCATTTGATTAGGTCTATTTGGTGTCACATGCCCTGATATTCTTAAATATCTTACAATTACATTTGCTTTTTTGGAAGTTCAAAGTTCAATAACCTCGACTGAACAATGATATTTTTTGAAGCTGCTGTTTGTTGATTGTCAGAATAGTTGCTTTAGATAAACATTCATAAGCGCAAAATATTTTCTTAACTTTTTGTTATGAAGAGTGGAATAATTTTGAAGTCTGATATCAAATGGTAAAATAGGAAACTATAAATATTCTATAATGGTTCCACCTTGCATTTTGAAGTCTGATATCAAATGGTGATTATCAATATTCAATAAATTTTGTCCTTTGGCTTCTTGGATTCCACCGTGCATTTATCTTTTAGACTTGGCCTCACTCTTAGGCTGTGTTGAGTACGTAACTGAACAGACATTGGGAAAAATAACTATTTTGTGATGTTTCTGGCTTAACATGCAACATGTTTCCTTATATGTGATGGTGGTGTGGTTGCAGATGACACTTGAAGAAGCTATAGGCTATGTAGCTTCCGATGAGCTTATTGAGGTAAGTTTCTGCAAGCAATTTATATAGTCCTTCAAAATTGTGTTTACTTTTTAATTCTTTAAAGTGTTTACGTGGATGGGTGATAATCATTTGACAAGAATAATTTTTATTGATCAGTCTCACTGTTAAATTTCTTCTACGTTTTATTTGTTTCCGTGAAGGTTACACCAAAAGCCATTCGATTACGCAAGAAATACCTTGATGTTAACAAGCGGAAAACCATGAGTAAAAGGCCAAAGGAATGAAGAGAGGAGAAAAAGCCACGAGTAAAAGGACAGAAGAGCAGAAGAACGAGGAGTTTATCCTCTATTAAATTTTGTAGAATTAATTCAATCGGTGTATGATATAGTTATTACAAGTATTTTTTTTTTTTGTGGCAGGTTTTGTCATAATTAAAGTATTACAGGCTCCACATAAAAAATATTCTTTGGCAGTGATAAGAAAGTTAACTCAATTTTGTATTTTCTAATTAGAGGTTAATAATTGGCCATGAAACAAGTTGCTCATTGTAATGATGTACTTCAGAAGATTAAACTGGGATTCCTCTGGAAGGATATTTTATTAACTGTGTATCAGAAAGCCACCCGTCTGCGGTGTCCACCCGGAGTAAAAATTTTATCGATCTTGTGGTTGGCTTGATGCCATGGGTTTGATATCTGACTAAATTTTTTTTTCTTCTAAGGACAGGTTTGACTGTTAGAAGAAAAAATAATTATGATTCTTTATAAGCTAAAACTAGTTTATTTATAAATTAATTTATAAAGGTGTTTTTCATATTTTTTATATAAATTAATTTAATTTATGATTTTATTTTTGTCTTTGTTCTTACACATAAGTAGATATTTAAAAATTGAATGAAGACATGGGAGTAATTTTATTAGTTTTTCTTGTTTTGTTGTTTATATTATTCTTATGTAACTTATTTTTTAATAAATTTTGAAAAATTCATTCTTTTTTATTTATTTATTTTTTAAAATAATTTAATAAAATAATTATAAAAAATAATTACAGTAACTTATATAGATTTTTCTAATAGAAAAAATGCCTAATATTTTATTGAAGTATCTCATCAAACAATTTTTATTGAAAATATTTTTAAAATTGAATTATAGGTTCAATTAATTTAAATTTGATTATTTAAATTATTTTTAAATAATTAAGTTTTTAAATGGATATAAAATTAGAAAATTTATAAAATTGATTTAGTTTCTTTGGATCAAATCAATTTTAATAGAAGTTATTTTTAAATATAATTTTTAATTTTTAAATATAATTTGTTTATAAAAGATATAATATTTTAAAAAATTTAATTTATATTAATCTTATTAATTTTAAAAATATTTATTTTGTTACATTTTTATTTTATTTATTATATTTTATGTTTATAATATTTTTATATATTTGATTTTTATTTTAAATTATTAATATTAATAAATTTATTATACTGTTATAAAAATATTAATTTATTAGATTTGATGCTATTCATTTCTTCCCTTTTCCTTCTATTTTAAAATAATTGCAAATAAGTTGGTGTAAATTTAAGATGTTCTTGTTATGTTGTAAAACGAAGGTGTCTTTATTGACTGTCTTGCGTAACCGACATTTGCTTCATGCATTGTCTTATGTTCATTGATCACGTGATTCAGAAACTCCAATGTTAAATATAGCAGCCTGGTTAAAAATTCAAAGTCACGTGCAGGCCTGACTCTTGAACAAAATCGAGACACGTTAATTTCCGTGGTTGTAAAAAAACACTAAATTGTAAACATCATCATTAATTTTAAATTAACTTATTTTATACTTTGATTAATTTTTATAAATAAACTTATGTTGATAGGATTGGAGAAGTTATCTGTGAGACCAAATTCAAGTTTTCTCTTAAATACATGTTCGAGTAAGGAATTTACTCTAAAAATTACTATAAACTTATTTCTGAAACCAAATTTAAATTACAATAATTTTTGCAAAACAAAAGTGACAAGGATTCACAAGTTGTGTGGTGGTTCACATCAATGAACTGTTGATTCTTTATGATGAAGGAGCATCGAAGAATAGAATTTAAATTCCAAGCTAACAAGCTTATTTTATTTATGTCACAAGGGTACCATGATTTTCTAGTTCCACGAAATATTCGCCTATTTTTGCTTGTAGTAACTATATTTGGTATGCAAACCTTAAATGTTACAATGTTTCACAATTACACTTCCAACCTTATAATTTCATCAATTATTAAATGTTTTTTTAATTTTAAATTGACTATATATAAAATAGATACATTTTTTTGAGAAATGATGAAGATGGATTAGAAACCATCTCATTAATTATAAATTTAATTTTACTTGCTATAATGTTACTCTTTTACTTATATTATATTGCTTCGAATAGAAAAAAACGTGAAATTTTTAAATAAATTTTCAATTTCTTTGAACGAAAGGAAAATTATTTTCTACTAATTACATAGTGAAAAAGTAAGAAATAAATAATTAACCTTTTAACAACCGGTTGTGAATGAATATGTAATGATAACAATAACAATAATCATGTCAATCTTAAAAAAATTATAAGTTTACTTAAATTTATTTATAAGTAAAATAATAATACGTGTATTAACATTATAATTTTTATACAGTAACCCAATAAAAAATTATAAATAATAAGTTTATTAAATTTTAAAACGAGTTTTTAGAACTCATTTCAGTAATATCACTATATATATATATATATATATATATATATATATATATATATATATATATATATATTTTTTTGAATTGTCAATGAGTTAAAAAGCTCTTACACTTAAATCACATATTATTTAATTATAAATGAATATTTAGACTCCTAAGTATTAAATTAAAATTCCAATTAGTTGAATTCACACCCAAAAAAAAAAGTTTAAATTTGAAGGTTTTTCCTTCATTTTCTCAATCCAAAAAAAAAAAAAAAACAGATAATAAGATGTATGGATGAGGGTGAAAATGGTAAAATGAAGCAAACCCATTCTGATTGTTATGTATGTTTTGATATCATTCATTTCATTCTAGCTTTGAATGCTTCTCCCTCCATGCCCTTCTGCCATTACAACAACACCAACAACATCAACAACACCCTCTTTCTCTCAATTCTTCATCTCCAATGCTGAAAGTTGCAGGGTTCATGCACACTGACCCGATCGAATTCCCGCAAAATAATTGAAGAAAGAACCGGAAAGTTAGGATCTTTTGAAGGCACGATCGCGTGAGAAGGAAGAGGGAAAATGGGTGCGTATAGAGCGGACGATGATTACGATTATTTGTTCAAGGTGGTGTTGATCGGGGACTCTGGCGTTGGGAAATCAAACCTCCTGTCTCGATTCACGAAGAACGAATTCAGCTTGGAGTCTAAATCCACCATTGGAGTTGAATTCGCCACCCGCAGCATCCACGTCGATGACAAGATCGTAAAGGCGCAAATTTGGGACACCGCAGGCCAAGAAAGGTCGCTGTTTTTTCTTTTCTTCGTTCTATTTGTCCTTTCAAACGGCTGGAAGGGTTAGTTTCTTACGATAAACGTAACCAAGCATTGCTTTTTTTATGAAAAAACGCATTTATGTTTAATGGGTAATTATGCCTCGAATATGTTTTTTAAATGATTTTGGGACGAAACTATTTCATTTCATTCTGATTTCTATTTTGATTTCTTTTTATTTTTTGGATTTTTTTTACGGATTTGAACGAGAAGAATGAAAATAAAGAAGCAAAAAGGAAGTAAAAGACTGAAAAGGATAATTTTTCTTTTGGTTAGAAGCCTAAAGGGTGAAGAAATTTTGAATTTTTAGTATTAGTTTTTAGTTTTCCTTCAAATTAAATTTCTAATTCTCCCTTTTGTTGTTTCCCAACCCTGGCAAACATAGGGGTATGGTTGGTTGTTTGATGATGGGGGATGCATTATGTGGACCATAGTTTTGTGGGGTTTGATTGAAGTTTAACGTGTTTTGTTATTTTTTTCTTTTAAAATAATGGTGTTGGATTTGATTTGGCAATGATGAATAATGCAGCCAACTTGAGATTTTGTTTTTTTTTTGGTGGTTGTGGGGTTCTTGCTTTTGATCAGGGGTTCTTTTTTATCTTTTTATTTTTTGGAATGGAAGCATGGGATTATGCATTGGGCTTTTTGTTATAGGATGGAGAATGCTGATGTTTTATGCTATTTATTGCATTATGAATGCGTGTTCTGCAATTGATGAAAATAATGAAATTGATGAATCTGCAAAGTAATGACATGGGTTGAAGATTGTTTTGTTTTCCCTGTGATGTGGTTTCTAGGGAGCTGGGGGAGGGATATGATTGTTCTGTGGATGAATTATTGACGAGTGGGCCAAAGTTTAGAGTATAAATGTATGTGTGAAATAATGGATGAGTGTGACAAATGTCTTTGCTTCCAGATCCATTAATTTTTACAAAATCTGCATTTCTTTCTTGGATCTGACTCCTCTAAAGTGAGTAACTCATTTAGAAGATAAATTAACATTAATTGTTTAACAAGAAAATTGTATGATGATATTACATATGCATGCATAACAAATCATGTAGATGATACGATATCAACATTGAAATGACTTACTTTACCATTTCGCCCTTTAGGAAAGTCAATTTTTTTTAATGGTGTGTCATTTGAGAAATATGCCGTGATGATGACAGGGCAACCTGACTTCTCAAGTTTAGGGTTGCTTTATTTGGCTCATATGTCAGGCACTTTTTTGAAATGAAATGAAGCTGAGATTTTAGTCAGTGACTAGTAAAATTTAAGATATGACTGTTTCAAATTTCTGATAAACATTTAATGAGGTGGAATATGGTATCTGTGTGAAGTGTACTGTAGGACAGGGATTGTTGTTTCTATTTGGGAGTGTGATTTAATGTGATACTTTGGTTAGGTTTTATTTGCCAATGAGAATGGTATACTATACACTTTCACAAAAATGATGCAACACAGTAATAGTGGAAAGGAGCCAGTTTTGGCTGTATCAAATATAGCAACAAGCACCAACCAAACTTTATCTCACAAGATGTATAGTAAACCAACCCATTTTAGTACCCTAAAGCTAGAGGTAACATCACCTTGGTCCTTCAAAGAAAATTAATACCTTGTTCTTCAATCACAAAAAGTTACGTATGGTCCCAACATTTGACATTTAATTTAGTCCCTTAATTGTAGAAATTAATATCAACTTAGTCCCTTAATCCTACATATTTGACTTCAATTTAGTCCATTTACCATAGAAAATGACATCAATCTAGCCCTGCAATCTCAGTCTGTACACAGAAGGACGATTTTGATATCAGTTTTTTTTTATTGAGAAGGGACTAACTTGATGTCAATTTTTTTTTTAAAGACTGAACGATGACTAATGTATCTTTTGAAGGACTAAAACTTAAAAGAAATAGAAAGATTCAATGTTTTTTTTTTAAGACACTTCTTCAAAGATCTTTTTTGTAACTTAGCTTTACTTTGAAGTCTACACTAGCAATGATTTTTCTGTGCCATGGTCATCACTCATTTCTCACTAATCATAACTAGATACATTATATATATTCCATCGTAATGCTGCATATATCAGGTCTCATTCTTGCTATTTCCTACAGATATCGTGCAATCACTAGTGCATATTATCGAGGTGCTGTTGGAGCATTGCTTGTGTATGATGTTACCAGACATGTGACTTTTGAAAACGTGGAGAGATGGTTAAAGGAGCTTCGTGATCACACAGATGCCAACATTGTGATCATGCTTGTAGGGAACAAGGCTGATCTCCGTCACCTACGAGCCGTGGCCACCGACGATGCCAAGGCGTTCGCCGAGCGAGAAAACACATTTTTCATGGAAACATCTGCTCTTGAGTCCTTGAATGTTGACAATGCCTTCACAGAAGTGCTCACTCAGATATACCGTGTCGTTAGTAGGAAGACTCTTGAGATTGGAGATGACCCTGCAGCCTTGCCAAAGGGCCAGACCATCAATGTTGGTGGTAGGGATGATGTCTCAGCTGTCAAAAAGGCTGGATGCTGCTCTGCATAGTTTCACAGGCCTTTGGCAGCAGAATAGTATATCTATATGTGCATGATTCAACCAATCAATTCTCAACATTTTGGGATCCAAGTGAAAGCTTTTAATATCTACACTTCTCTTTTTATGTAATTTCTCCCACATATCTTGCCAAGTACATTTTTTTTTCTCTTTTCTTTTCTTGTAAGCATTGTTTGGTCATAGGATTGATGTCATGTTGCCCTTAGATATTACACAGAATTTTCGGTTTGTATTGAGTGAAAGCTCTGTCTGGTTGTTAGATTGATTAAGTTGTTACAATGTCATCATTCTTTCTCAAAATTTGATCAAGGAGTTTCCATTCCACAGGAACAAGAAAAAATCTTTAATAGATAGGAAGTATTATTCAATCCTGAAAGTATTATTGGCTTGTTGGTAGGAAAACATCTAATAGCAATTGGAATACTGCATAGGTATTGTGCTCAGCACAAAGGAACAAGGATTGCAAGAAATTTCACAAATTGAAGCACTGCTTTATTTTTAGCTACAACATTAGTCTCTTTACCTGTTGCCCTCTTCATTTTGTTAATTTATTAATATCTAAAATAGCACAAAGTAAAGGAAAAAAAAAACAAAAAACAATTTACATCAAAATACAAGCTATTATTTAACCACTCAATCAGAAAATAGCATGACCAAGCTTAGGTGATCGGCAATATTTGTTTCATTCTCTAACGAAATGGATAACCAGAGCAGTCCCATCACTCTGCAGAAGTTGAATATGCCTTTCTTTTTATATATTTTGTTTTGTTTTTGCACAATAAAAATTACATATTTCCCTCTCACCCACTTTCCTCTTACCTCTCATTTTTGTGATCTGCCTCATGCCATATCTGGGTGTACATTTTTTGTTTCGCTTGTAGAACGGCCGAAACTAGGTTTTTTGCAAAATAGCTTTTGCATATAGAAATCAAAAACATATTTTGAAGAAGTTATTCTTGTCAACAAATAAAAATAAATGGGGTGCACAAATAAAAAAGATGGTGTTAATAGAATTAATGTTCTAAACTAGGATAAGCCCAAATGGCAAAGTCAATCTTATCAGATTGACAGCAACCAAGAATCCAGTTCCACAAGGAAAGTCTTCTATCAACTTATGGACTAAGAAATAAACTTTTTATATAATATATTTTCATTTTTTACTCTTTTTGTTTATTAACCGATGTTTGTTTGGAAACATATAGCTTGGTTGGTACTTGCCTTCTAACCTTTTGCTTCATCTTACCAAATGGAAATGCAAAATTTTAAATATATTGAAAGATTTTTATTATAGTTTCTATTATTCAACAAACATAAAAAATACGAAATTTATGCATTACTTTATAAAAAATTGATCCAGTTGTTCTACCAGCAACAAGACAACATCCATCATCGTAGCAGAATTCTAAACATTTGGCGCAATGCAGCACTGAGAGGTCACATGGCATGTTATCAGGCACAACACAACCATTGCAATCACATGACCAAGTAAACGCTTCCCTAACTTTTTCTTTTTATAGAAACCCTTAAAATCATTTTCATAATTTTAACCAGATAGCTTCAATTTTCTGCATAACTACTGAAGATAAATTGAAATAAGCTCATATATGCTCTTTCTAACACCCCCTAAAGGTTATCTTTGTGAAAGACAAGTGAAACAAATGGGAATTCTTGAAAACATGCATTTGGGGTTGCAGGAGCGTTTTACCTTTGCATGAAATCTATAAAAAGAGCTCGCACATGCCAAAAGATTTGTGGGAAAGACTGAAGGTGCCAAGAACTATGAGAAGGCACTTGAAGTCATAAACAAATATGTAGTATTTGGCATATGTTTTACTGGTTTGTGATACTGAAGATTTCAGCGTTGACATATATGATTTATTATTTGTTATTTAAATTGTTTTAGTATGTTTTAATTTTTTTAAATAATATTTAAAATAAAAAAAATTATATTATTATTTTTATTTATATTATTAAGATTAAAATATTATTAATATTTGATATTTTATTATATTTTTAATATATATATATATATATATATATATATATATATATATATATATATATATATATATATATATCCTAAAACTCTTAAAAAAGTGTTTTCAACTTTATTCTTATACATGTAGAATGTAGAATGAATGAAGAATTAAATTTTTTACAAGACATTATTTAACTTCTTTGTAAGGAACGATTTATGAGTTATAGAGGTAATAAGTTATGTAATTTTTTTATTTAATTTTATCGAAAAATAAATAATCATTCATATAATAAGCATTGATAAATGTTATCTAATATTGTAAATATGATCAATCTGGACATATAAAAATGATATGTATATCAGAAGAAATAGTTAAGGTTATAAAAGATGAAGTTCTCGTGTAATAATTTGTTTTACAACTAATAAATCTATTGATAGACTTATAGATAATGATTCTACAAAGTTAATGAACAATAAATGAATGTAAAAAGTAGGAGAATAATTACAGTTAAAAATAAATTATAAAATATATTTTGAATACAAATTTATTAAGTATTGCATCATTGTTAGAAAAAAAAGTAATAAAGTGTCTTTTGAACACAAATTTTATGTGATTAAAAATATAAATTTTGAAATGTACATCAAAGAAAAACAAGTTTTACTTAAAATTTGATTTTACCTGTGAATGAAAATATAAAAAAAAATAATAAAAAAATATAAACCATATTTCTTAAGAAACTTAATATTAAAGAAAAGAATAAAGATATAAATGAAGAATCACCTTCCATCTTTATCAAATATTCAATGTTACATAAAGATCATAAGAAATAAATAAATAAATAAAAAACTAAAATTAAGTAAAGATGCATCTCATACAAAAAGAGAATATGAAAAAAAAGAAAAAATTAAGTAAAATAAAAAAATATCAAATTCAAATAAATAAATATTGAGATAAAGAAGAATGTTGATAATATATATTTAATTATTATTTTTATTTATATTAGATATTAATTTTGTTATTATATTTTAATTTATAAAGTATTATTTAGAATAAAAAATTATATTATTATTATTATTATTATTTTAATTTAAATAATTAAAAATAAAAATATTATTAATATTTAATATTTTATAATATTTTTATTATTATATATATAATATAAATAAAATATAATACTTTTTTTACCGTATTATATATCTCATTAAAAATTAACATAGAGAAAACCCTAAAAATCTCTAACACTTGCTTTAAAGACGAGGTTTGAAATTTGCAGATTGATTTATCATGTTAACTGCACCTAATTTTTACTTGAATATGTTATGCTTCAAATGCTCTTATTTTTGTATCATTTGAATAACCAGTCTTATAAATGCATTTTTGCATCTGTGTGAATGAATAAGATTGTAACATAGAGTAAGAGCTAACACCATGCCATTTTCATTTTATATTCAATGAATGATTTGTTGATTGAATAGATTTTGGGCTAAATTTGGCTTTTTTTTTCCTTGAAATAATGGAAGTCAATGTGCCAAAACGGTACAATTTGCTTTTTAAATTGTAATACTCAAGTTTGAATTTAAATATCACCTCAGTTAAATAAACTGCTTCACTTTTTTTCATGTTTTAAGTTTTTATATATTTATTATAATTATAATAATAATTATTTTGTTATTATTATATTATGGGACTGTGAGTATAGACTTGTTTCATTAGTATCTTTAGATATCTTTTAAAAATAAATTAAACGAAAATTTTAAAATAAATCATATATTATAGAAGTTGACTTTAACATATTATCGTAATTGATCTAAATTCATGTTATTTTCGTTTTTTTTAAAAAGAATGGTATCAATACATTTTATTAAAATTTAACTGTAGTTATAAATTAATTTTATTTAATATTTTAATTAATATCTGTAAAACATTTAGTTATCATTTAAACCTCTATTTTTATATGGTTGAAAAAAATATTAACACCCTCTCATTCTTAAGGCACCTTTTATAATTAACTAAAATTTATAAAATAATACAATGTGGATAAGTTTGTTTAGTTGTTTTTTTTATAAATGGTACAATTTCTTTTTTTAAATTTATTGGTAGATAAATTTTTAAAAACTTATAAATTTAGATACGTCATATGAAAAATAATTTAAAATAACAAATTATGTTTTATAACATTATTTTAAATTTTATATTATTATTATTAAAATTAATAATAAAATAATAAGAATAATATTATTATCTTATTATTAATTATACTAATAAATATAAATATTTATTTATTTATTTTATTATTAGTTATAATTAAAATAATAGGAATAAAATAAATTAGTATTGTGATGCTCCTCTTGACCTGAGTTTTTAAAAATAGATTTGGATTCCCAGAAATTCAATTTATTCCAAAAATTTATAATATGGGTTTTGCTTTGGTCTATGTATTTTGTATGTTTTTTATGTATTTATATAGAAAAACATGATATTTGGCATGTGAATGGAATATCACTTACGTTAAATTGTCATATATAATTTTTATTAAAAAAATAATATATAAATAATTATATAATAATTATTAAAATATAATAATTAAATTAGTGAATTTTTATTATTTTATTATTATAAATGATAATAATAATTATTTTATTATATAATTTAAATATTATAATTAATAATAAAATAAATCATAATAAAACCATTTATATTATTAATATAATAATATTAGTCATTATAATTATATTATTTTATTAATAATATTACTATTTTTAATAATAATAATAATAATATAAATTTTTCATTAATAATATAATTATAATATTATAATAGAAGTTGGATAATACGACTTTTATATAAAATATATATAAAATCGTATTATCACCTTTTTTTTTTAAATGCTATGAAATACAATTTTTTCGGATGGTGTTTATTAGTACTGTCCAGATCTATAATCTTTTTAAAAATTTACCTGTATCTGTAAATTTTTAAAAAATTATCCATTTGTGTAAGAAAAAAAAAAACGTTTCTTTTAAATGTTTCTAAATTTGGATTGAATTTATTCCTCATGGTGTGAAAATGGTATGAGGTCAGAATTTGTGTCCATACAAAAATAACAGAAAACCCTATAAAGGGTCAGGAGTAGGTGCAGACAGGAGGGTTGGAGAGAGATATTGAAGAAGAAGAAAGTGTCAGATATAAAAAATATAGTTTTTTATTTCATAACTTTTTTATTATATAATATAACGTCATTCAATTAAATATTTTAATAGTATGTAATATAAAATAAATTATTATTTTTATACAATAAATAATATTATATTTTTTATTGTAAATATTAATAAATAAAATTAATATGTTTTAAAATAAAATGATATGAAAAAAACTTGAAATACACACGCAACAACACAAATGTGTTTTCATTAATATAAAATTAATAAAAAAAATATTATTTTTATTTTTCAATTGTTTCTAATGAAACAATTTTATTTATCTTTCTCATTTTTTCTTTCCTTTCTAACTAACTATCTCACCTCTCATTCTTAGACTATTATTTCTTTCTCACTAAGATCTTAAAACACTTTCAGAGTTGTGACTCATCCAACCATCTTTTCATCATTTCCCACTCTTCCCTGCCATGGACGACCGCGTCTCCCGTCGAACCGAGATCCTCACCAACCACCTCCTCCGCCGCGCACAACCACTGTCGCCTCCCTTCGTTCTCCACCCCCACCGCTGCCTGAGCTACTGCCCCCCGGAGCTCTGCAACGAATTCGCGTTCGACGCACGGGAGATGAGAAGGCTGATGGACGGGCACAATCTGGAGGACCGCGACTGGCTCTTCTCCATCATCGTGCAGAGCGCCCTCTTCAACCGCCGCGAGCGCGCCGGAAGAATCTTTGTCTGCCCCGACTACAACCAGTCCATGGAGCAGCAGCGCGAAGCCACTATGAAGCGCATCGGGTATCTTGTCGAGAGAGGGGTTTTCCGAGGGTGGCTTACCGGCGAAGGCCCGGAAGAGGAGCTGAGGAAGCTAGCCCTCCATGAGGTTATTGGGATGTACGATCACTCGCTTGCTGTTAAGCTTGGTGTTCACTACTTCCTCTGGTGGGTTATGTTTTCTCTTTTCTTTTTCTATTAGTTTTCTCTTGAGAGTTGTGCGAATTTGAGTAAGACTAATTGTGCGGTTAGTTTTATATTGACAGCTCATCATAAGCCATAGATGGAGCACTTTTGGGAGTAAAAGTCAAAGAAAATATATGGTTTCTCAATAACTAATATTAACTCATGCATAATTCATTTGCAGAAATAATCCTTTTCAGCTATTCTAAAAGATTATTTTTAACTTATGCATGAGTTAATTATATCAACTTTATTTCATTTTTTTAAAGAAGTGTTTATGCTGAAGTTTATTGGAACATGCTTGAGAAGAATTAATCTCCTCCAAATAGAGTCTGCATAGATACAATGTTAAAAGGGTCTTGGAGAATTTCTCTACTTGAAAAAGCTCTATATTTTTAGAAGAGATAATACTAACGTGATAACTTTTGTTGGGTAATACTCTCTTGTATGTCATTTTTTTTTCTTCATGTCTCCTCGTTTTTTTCTTGGGTAAAGAACTTTTGCTGTCCTCAAAGTTTTCAGCAGTGTGGCAGAGGTTGTCGTTTTGCCTTTAATATACATGCTGTTCAACATTTTGTTCGTTTGGATTTGATTGTTTCTTAGATATATAATTCAAGTTAGGTTTATCTTTCAAGTTAGGTTTATCATTGAATGAATTGTTTCGTTCATATGGATCCAGAGTTAAAAAAAAAAAAAAAATGTACTGGGTGCCACTAGTCGGTGAACAGCCAACCATATCCTAAAAAGATTTACTAAATTTAGTGAGTTGTTCCACTCTCAGCTCTCTGTACGATACTCGTTTGGCTGGGGGCTCCAAAATCCATGTAGTGAAATCGTTGAGTTGTTCAAAATACATTGTAAGCTAGACCTGTGCTGACAAGAAACCAACCTGGAATGATAGGGAGGGTTTAGTGATGCTGTGAATAATTCGGTAGTGAATACCGGTAATGGTTGGACTGATGTGATTAACGGATTACAATTCCAGTTCCTAACACTTTCAATGAGGACAAAGGTGATTTATCCTTTTTCCTTTTTGAATTGGTAAAAATTAGAATAATCTATCGAGTTGGTCCCTAAAGTACCTTTTTTCAAGCTAAGTTTTATTTAAAATGATTGAAGTGGCAATGATCGAATTTTTATGACTTGATTTAGTACACTGGTTCTATGTTTCTAACTAACTATGAAGGGTTATGATTGTATCTAACAAAGCTCACACTGCTTGTTTCTATACTTTTCCTATTAGAGGGTTGTATTCAATCACAGAGTTCTAAGATTAAATCCAACTATGTACTTGACGAAGAATACTTGATGGTCTTGCAGTAGTCAGACCAAGCCTTGTTTTTGTATGTATTATCCGGCCAAGAGAGGGTCTTGAAGGGTGAATTCAAGTGTTCAAATTCTGCGTGTAAAGGAAGGTTGTGATTTTAAACACATATCTGGACTTGCTACGGAGCACATTCTTTGCTTGACAAACTTCCAGAACCTATAATTTAATGAGATTTTGTGCACTTTAATGCAAGCAAGCTCTTGGAAGAATTGAAAGATAAATAAATTAACCAGTTTAACTTCTATTGTCTTTTTCTTATTTTTTTTTGGTGAGGCATTTTAGAAAACAAGAAATTAATGATGGATATTTTCCTGATGCCACCTTGCAGTAACTCACGGTTTTTATCTCTGACGTATGATGGATTTCAGGGGTGGGGCTGTAAAGTTTCTGGGAACCAAGCGCCACCATGACAAGTGGTTGAGTGCTACTGAAAACTATGACATGAAGGGTTGTTTTGCCATGTCCGAGTTGGGCCATGGAAGTAATGTATGTGAAGGTTGCTCAATTAGTTGGAGTCATTAGGTCCACATGTAATTTGTTATGCTTTTGCCTTGTCACTTTTAATAATTCTTTCCAGAATAATTTGTACAGGTGCGAGGAATTGAAACTGTCACTACTTATGATTCAAACACAGGAGAATTTGTCATCAATACTCCATGTGAATCGGGTCAGAAGTATTGGATTGGTGGTGCAGCAAATGTAATTATTCTTTCTGTATACATAATAATTATTTAAAAGCCTACGCATGACAAGGTTGAGTGCTTACATTTTTCTCATGCTCCAACTTTGTCTATACTAATTAACCCTATATTATTCACTTTTTCTTTTGTTCAGCATGCAACGCACACTATAGTCTTTTCACAGCTCACTATAAATGGAAGCAATCAAGGGGTGCATGCATTCATCGCCCAAATCAGGGATTCAGATGGAAACATATGTCGAAACATCCGAATAGCTGATTGTGGTCACAAAACTGGTTTAAATGGAGTTGATAATGGCCGTATTTGGTAATATATGCATTTTCAAAGTTGCACCTGAAAAATGAATTTTATATAAATGAGTGAACTGAGAAACATGGACATCGGTCTTCAGGTTTGATAATGTGAGGATACCCCGGGAGAATTTGTTGAATTCCGTGGCTGATGTTTCAGCAAGTGGTGAATATTTGAGTGCAATAAAAAATGTTGATCAGGTGATTTACTTTTTCAGAGAGATGATGTTCTCTTTGGTCTCCTTGTGGTCTTCTTTATTCCTTTCGGAAAGCTTGTTCACATATCTTTTGTTGTATGTCATTCATGCTCCAGAGGTTTGCTGCTTTCTTAGCTCCTTTGACCTCTGGCCGTGTTACTATTGCTGTTAGTGCTGTTTACATGTCCAAGGTAGTGAGATCATCTATACTTGTGGATTTCACGTTTGTCTGCGTTGTTTATTTTCTGTGCATTTAACACACTCATTCCAAATTTGATATCTTAACTTATCGTGTCATTTATTTGTTTTTAGATTAGCTTGGCCATTGCTATAAGATATGCACTGACAAGGCGGGCATTCTCCATTACACCAAACGGGCCTGAAGTTTTACTGCTTGATTACCCTAGTCATCAACGGCGTCTGTTACCTTTACTTGCAAAGGTGTAAGTCCTCTAATTACAAGCATTTTCATATCTGTTTGATAAGGCCTAAAAAAACAATTCAATTCTTTATGGGGGGAAGCTGAAGCTTAGGTATATTCCTCAATGTAACATGCCTGGTGTTTTTCTAATAAAAAATGTTAAGAGTCAAGAATCTTTAAAACTATGCTCATTATTACAGGAATAGTTAATTTTTTTAATAAAAGTTCAGAGGTTATTTTCCCATGTGGATATCCTAGTTTATAACTATTTAGTGGATATAAATGGGACCTAGATAATACGCTTTTATGTTCATTTCTTTACCCTTTTTTACAGATATGCGATGAGTTTTGCCGCTAATGATCTCAAAATGATGTATGTCAAAAGAACACCCAGTTCAAACAAAGCAATTCATATAATTTCTAGTGCTTACAAGGCTACTTTTACTTGGAATAATATGCGTACTCTCCAGGTAAGTTTTTCCCTGTGGTTTGATAGATAATATTATATGTTTGCCCTATCTAATGTTCTGTTAATGCTTGAAATAGGAATGTCGTGAAGCCTGCGGAGGCCAAGGAGTTAAATCTGAAAATCGTGTTGGTCATTTCATGGGTGAATTTGATGTGCAATCAACATTTGAGGGGGACAACAATGTTCTGATGCAGCAGGTAAAATGAGTATTCTGTTAAATATGAAACTTGAATGATAATTAAGCACAACATCTTTAAATTCAAACCTAAGAGATATGATGAGCTGGTTGCAATGCGCAAAACATTAATTGGATCCTGACAAGTTTGTTAGTTTATGTACATTTGACTTTTAAGCGGTAGTAATAATAACTATTAAGAAATAGTTATACGGAATCCAACTTAGGACACTAGCTGGGCCTTCATCAATAGACTTTTGGGTTGATTGATTTCTGAAAATAGTATTTAGGCCTTTTTGTTCAGGTGTTAGAATTTTGATTTTTGTCACCTTTAATTTTTATTAATTGAGATTTTTGCAAAAATAGTATTGGTTACTGTATCCTTTGTCAGACTTGACCCCTAAAGAAATTTCATATGAATGATTGTGTTAGAGACAAAGAGGGTGTAATGGTAACGTTACCTTTTGACCTTCAGGTCAGGAGTTCAAATACTAGCGGTAGAAACAGCCCTGCTTGCGGGGGTTAGACTGCTATTCTATCCTCCGCAGACCCTGCATAGAGGGAGCCTCATGTGCCCGTGCCCTTCTATTGTGTCAGAGACAAAACCTGTTTTTATGATATTTGATGACATGTAACAGTAATTTTAAAGAACACTTTTGTTTTAATTGTATAGTTACCTTGGGCCTCTATAACAGACCATTTTCCTTTTCTTATATAGGATAACTTTTTTAGAATAGACTTTCTGACTACTGATTTTTTGCTTGCTCACTTGAAGACTTGGAAGTAGCATGAAAATTCATGTCAAATTTAGGCATTCGTTCTCTCCATTTTATTGAATATAAATGGTTTGTTCACGGGTTGTTCATTTCACTTCAGATATGCAAGGCACTCTTTGCAGAATACGTAGCTTGTCAGAAGAAAAACAAACCGTTCAGTGGTTTGGGATTAGAGCACATGAACAAACCTTTGCCTGTTATCCCATCTCAGCTAACAAGTTCAACCGTTAGGAGTAGTGAATTTCAGGTAATCATTTTATTATACCTGTTGACATTTGGAGAAGCCATATAGAAGCACCTATCTGTTTCTTACCTTACGTCTCACTCAGATTGACCTGTTCCACCTAAGAGAGAGAGACCTATTGAGGCGTTTTTCTGAAGAGGTCTCAGAACATCAATCTCGTGGAGAAAGCAAAGAGTCTGCCTTCATTCTAGTGAGGAGTCTTCTTTGTTTTGTTAATTTCTCCTTCCATCTTTTCATTGTCTTACAGTTTGGAACACTTTTTATTCCAGAGCTATCAGCTAGCAGAAGACTTGGGCAGAGCTTTTTCAGAACGAGCAATACTGAAAACGTTCATGGATGCCGAGTCAACTTTACCAGCTGGTTCATTGAAGGTAAATCATATTATTACTTGCTGCATATTCTTGCTATAGACGAGTACTAGTAAAGCTCTCTTTGTAACACATTTTACCAATATTTTTAAAAACGGATCATACGTTAAACTGGTCGAACTAGACATGAAGCAATATATATAAAATTAAAAATACAAAAAATAATATTAAAAAATATAATTCCACAATCTTATGGTGCTAAAAAAGAAAATAAAACATAAATTTATGGGTTATTAGCATTTAAAATAATATAAAAGTTTAAATAAAATGTGTATCATACTTAAATTGAAATTTCAATAATGTGCATCAATATCTATTAATGGTAACAAGTAGAAAAAAAAGACTAATATTTTAGGTTGATCTGTATTTAAAAAAAACAAAAAAGTTAAAAATTGTAATTTAACGGTTTTCACCGTTTTATATTAGTTTCACCATTTTGCTACCGGTCTTTGTGCATCAGTTGTTTTGCATCGCAACGGAACAAGATAAGGGGTCTGCTCTTAAGTCAAATTGGTCCAGCTTTTGAGAACCTTGCTTTTTACTATTTGTTGACCTTTATTAGAAATTTCAAAATCATAAGTTGGCCTTATTAATTAAGAAGTGGAATCCACACAATTTTGTGAGGTTGAATAAGACCTTGTTTGGATAAGTTTTTCTATAAGAATTTATTGGAAAAAAGTAAGGAAAAAATAATCTTTTCCAGAAGTTAAAATTATTTTATTTAAAAGTTAAATAAGTTTTTTGGAAACATTAAGTGATTGTAATTTTTAGTTTATGGGATAAATTTATTTGTAATTTTCTTTTCTGATAAATTTTGTTAGGAAGACTTTTCCAAATAGGATTCAAATTTTAGTCTTCAATAAAGAGTATATTCAAAAGAGTATGTTGTAGAGAGTATGTTGTTAGCATTTTTGTCCTGCTATACAGTGTCTTGTCTTTCGTGTTCAATTATTTGTAGGGTAAGTGTCTAACAGATCCATTTATTGATTTATTTACTTTTATTTACCTTTGTAGAATGTGTTGAGTCAATTGAGATCGTTGTATGCTGTGATAAGTGTGGATGAAGATGCTACCTTTCTTCGATACGGATACCTGTCAACAGAGAATGCTTCAGCAGTAAGGAAAGAAGTGCCAAAACTCTGCGCTGAACTTCGACCACATGCACTTGCCTTGGTCAGTTCCTTTGGTATTCCTGATGCTTTTTTGAGCCCTATAGCATATAATTGGGTTGATTCAAATTCTTGGTCCTCTCAACTTTAGCAAGCTTATGCAAAATTCTGCATAATATTTATGTTACTCTATGTATTGCTAAACAGTAACGACAAAAAAACGTGGTTACATAAGATTCGTTGAATAATAAGTTAAAGAACAAAATAAAAGTTGGGATCTGACGGAAATCAATGTCAGATCATTCGGATTGAGTTTCATCAATAATTTCTGTACCATTTAGTAAATAACTGTTAGACATTGGAATCTGATCAATGTACCTCAATTACGCTTTTATATTTTACAGAATCATAAAATGCAATGCCTTCAATATTTCTTATTAAAATACCTTTTAAGTGCTTGAACTTTTGTCATACGTTGAGTAAAAGTTAGTTTATTTCACTGTTGAGGAGGTCTTTGTGACCTCACACTCAATAGACAGTACAACAGTAATGTGAAAGGCTAATTATAGCAACTGGTATAGGGTTTTTATCCCATTTTTACAGACCCGAATACTCTAATTATAATCTTATCGTGGATAAACATTTTAGAAACCATTCATTTATACTGTTGTTAAAAGACAAAATAAGTCTTGTGAAAAAGGTACACAATACTCACTACCAAATGACTTTTGGTATACTCAACGGGAAACATTTTACTTATAATGAAGAAATATTATTTTTAGATATTCAATTTTAACTTATTATCATGCTTTTAATGATTCACTTGGCACATTGTTATTCTTAAAAATAAAGAGAGATTGACTGTAAACTTTGTCAAACTTGGACAAAATGATCAATATGAAAACACTTAATACATAAATTATTTCAAAGGTATAGACTATATTCCAGAAATATCAGACATATTTTCACTTGTTCAACTATTATTACTATGGATAAACCTCTATAAGAGACTTGAAACCTAGAACTGGAGTTATCTTGTAGTTATTGAACCCTGCAGAAAAAAACAATTTAGCCCAGTCTCTCTCATTTCTCTCTTTTCCACTAACCATCACCATCATCTCCATATCGTAGTAGAGTTTTGGTTGATCTAGTTTATTGTCTCCTTTCACATTTCCCATCACCACATCTATGATAATCACTTTTCCTTTATCTTTGTTTGCGATTGCCTCCTTACATCTCTTCAGGATTTTCAAGCATTCCTCATCGTTCCAGTCATGCATTATAGTCTACATGACAATTCAAATTACAGTGACATTAATATTAATTTTCTATTTAGTAAAAACAACATGATCAACAAGTCACAAACACAAGTTGTTTATCCAATAAGAAGTCTTCTAATTACAAATAAGAATTATTATCAATCAACTTAGACCCTAGGCAGTAAGAACATGATGATGTGCTAAAGGTGTAGTAAGAAGATAGTTAATATAAGTAGATACTATTTACCTTCAACATGATGGAATCAGCAGAAGGGATTGCTTCAAACATGTCCCCTGCAACATATTCTATGTTCTCCGTTCCTTGCAAGCCCTGAACAACATGTGGGAGATCAAAAACTGTGCACTTCAAGTGTGGAAATGACTTGACGATGGCCTTAGCCATAGTTCCTGTTCCTCCCCCAACATCAACCAAAGACTCTAATCCTTCCAACACTTCCTTGCACTTCTCAATCACCACACTGGAAATCAATCGAGTGTCATTAGTCATGGCATCATTGAAAAGGTGATTGAGTTTGGGCTCCCGGCTAGCATAATCCCAGAAAGTCATCCCATATTGTGTGTGAAATGGTGTAGGGTCATCATTTGTGAACCAAGTGGAGAATTGAAACCATGGATTGACCAAAATTGGATCAAGTATGGCTTGTGGCAGAGATGTCATACAAAAGGGATGGTCCTTAAGGAGTAGTCTAGATGCATCAGTTAGCACATAACTCACTTCTTGCTCATTATCAGTGACATTGTGTTGAGAGAAAAAACCAGAATGGATCAAAATTTGCATCAAGCGGGAAATGAAGCAAGTCTTGGAAGGGTGAATTGGAAGTGAAGCAACGAGTTGTGAGAGTGGCATAGGTTGGCCATACTTGTGTATGACATCAGGTATGCACAAATCAATTGCACATTTAAGGGACATAGAGTTTATGAAACTAAAAGCTTGGTTAAATATGTGGGTCTGAGCTCGAAGTAGTTTGGAAGAATGATCTTCATTATCAAAATCCATATTTTGCTATCTCAATGCTAGATTTGTGATTAGCAACCTCACTATTGGTGGATTTATAATCCCGGCATGTGCACTATGGCTGTACTAAAATAACAATATAATATACCATGCCTTAGATTGCTGCAGATTCTGCAGACATCTTCATATCTTACTGATATTGCCCAAAACTATATAATATTAATCCTCATTTTTCTTATTTCTAACAATCTGCACGTTTTTTCTAGTTAGAAATTTCATAAATTTATTTATTTATTTTATTTTGTTGCTTTATGATAAGCTTGCCAAAATCTTATTGTAAAACATATTTAAAGCTTTTCGTTAATAATAATAAAGTAAAATTAAGATAAGAACAAACTAGGTGATCATTCACTCAAATTTCTTTATTCAACCAAATCCAGAAGTATCTTCGTGGTCCATTGCCACTATGATATGTCTAAACCTGCTCTGCCATATTCCTTTTATTATTTCCCCATCATGAACTTTCATCAACCCAAATTATTTGGTTCTATTTATCCCAAATATACTGTCGGTGTTTTTTTTTTTTTTTCAAAACCTTTTTTAATATCTAACTAAGTTTTTGAAGAAAATATCACAGAGAATAAGTAAATTTAAGTATTATCACATGACGAAAAATATATCAATAGCTATTCATATAGTGTTCTAACATTTGTTTTTATTTGTAGAGAATAAGTAAATTAAGAGAAAAAAAAAGAGAGAAAGAAATGAGTAGAAGTAAAAATTGATTGGTTAACAAGAAATGAAAAAAAAAAATATAAAAATAAATAAAGTAAAGGGTTCTTATTATTTATTATTAATTTTAATAAAAACATTAACTTTTACTAATTATAATAAAAATATGAAATCCTGCACACAAAAAGAAAAAGAAGTGATAATTCCACTCATTTTTTTCAAGCATTTCCACTCGTATTAAAAGAAGAAATTAACAGTATCTTAGTTTCAGAGCATCTTCCCTTTTATTCCACTCTTTTATCTGCAACCCGATTATTCTTCTCACTTCTTCATACTTTTGAACCGTGCATGTTCTTATCCTGAGACAAAATTTTCTTCGTATTATCTCTTCTGCTCTTACATTTTATAATAACTCATCACTTTAGAATTAGAAAAAAAAAAACTAGAATACATTTTTATCATATATGTATGTATATCCTAGGTTTATGTTTTGTCTGTTCTTTTCAAATTTACGACGGAGATGAATATGGTTATATTTTGATGGAAAGTGAGCCACACATCGATGTGGTTCTAAGGAACGTCAAAAGTCAAGATCGGAGTTAAGAGCTTTTAGTGAAGAAAAATACATTTTAATTTTAGGTTTCCAGACATGTTTATTTTTTGTTATATATATTTTGATTTTTTTTTTCCTAAACTTAATTATTTTGTTAATTTTTGAATGAATGTGTAAGTATATGTGTATGTTGCAAAACATTTAAATCTTTTGGAAGATATTCATACAAAACACCATTTTGGTAAAAAAAAAATTATTTTTTATCCATTAGGGACCATGGAGTATCATATTATCATGAACTAGTTTGAAACATTTAATGGTGCAATCCAACACACGTGATGCTTTTTCTCTATCAAACCATACTAATATTTTTTTTATATATAATTTGTTATAAAAAAATCCAAGCAAGTATTAATTATTAATCTAAAATAATTGAGTTGAAGAAGCTTAAGAAAATACCTCAATGGCGAAATCTTCGCGAAGATTCTGGACTACGATATTAAGTACTTGTAATTTTTTCCTTTTACTTTTGTGGAACCTTGGTTCTGGAGGAGAACATGTTCTTGTCAAACAAGAAAGATGCGCTGATGAAATACGTTCGTCGATCACACGCACCCAACAGAGGTACCAAATTCGCTTCACTGTTATCAACTTCGTCGTTCACTTTCTAATCTCGAGAGATGGTGGTGCTTCCCGTGGTGAAGCTAGCAACACTCGCTCTCAAAACCGCGTGCAAACCAATCGCCAACAGGCTCAAGAAGGAGGCCGGCTACCACCCCAAGTTTCGCAGCGTCATCATCGCCATTGCCCAGGTCCTACTTTCCTTTCACCGACTCGCAAGTGTCTTATTTGCGTTTTTCACACTCACCCGTGTGTTTTTCTTTGCTGTGTGTGACCCTGGTTCTTCTGTGCCTCAGGCCAATCACAGATTGACGACGAGAGTACAGAGGAGAATTTACGGTCATGCCACTGATGTTGCAATCCGTCCTTTGAACGAGGAGAAGGCTGTGCAAGCTGCTGCTGATTTGCTTGGCGAAATCTTTGTGTTCTCGGTAATGACAACTCGACATTCTCCTATTTGTTATTGTGCTTCATACCAGTATTATCATGTTCATTATGTTTGTCATGAATTGCCTTCAACCTGTTTGTGTGTTTTACTGTTTTGATCACTGAATGCTGGTAGAAAGAAATCCCACTTTGACATTGATATAGCTAAAATAGCGTGTATATGTGGGGGACAAAGCATGGGATATTCTTGGATAAGCTTTTTCATAAATGAGAAACAATAAAAAGAACAAAAATGAGATAAATTTATCCATACACTGAAATTAACTTATACATAAGTTAAGAAAATAAACAGGAGAAACTAGTACGAGAGATTTTTAAAAACTAATTTATATATGTTAATTTTACTTTTTGGAGTACCAAGTTTTGTTTTTCTTTCTTATATTGTTCTTCTATAAGTTTTCATGAGAAATATATAGAAACATACTCTTAGATCATGAATTAGCTTTTTAATTGAGTTATGTTTAAGTCAAAATTATAAGATAGTGCCAAAGCTTATCTTTGTGGTTGTTGTTGGGCCTATCGGGCTATTATCAAACCACTTGCATATGTGTAATTTTTCAATTTCATGTTTGCAATATATAGTCTATATATATATATATATATTGGTTTTTAGTTTCTTCCTTGAACTAATTTGGTTTTACCAAAGATCGAACTCGGTAGTGTCAGAACGATTTAGGTTTAGCACATTAAACACTTATTCTCAACTCTTTGGTTTTGGTATAGTATTTATGAGTGAGGGACAACCCTTACCCCATTAGGTAAATTTTTTGGGTTTGAGTCTTGTTGAAGTGGTGTGACCTTACCTATGATATTGATAGTGAGTTAAATACTTCTTTGGTTCCATCAAAATCATAATGATATCTCGTGATTATTTTAGAAGTGTGTGCCCGTCTTTCTTTTAGATGACAATGTCATCCCTGTGCTCAGTAGAATAAATATTTTGCCCTGAACATGAGTAAATGACACCTATGTCTCAGTAACTTGAAGAGGTGTCACGATCATGTTTGACTCTCTATTCACTTTCTAGGCACCATCTGTCACTTGGATGCGGCCATTTTTTTCTAAGGACTCTTGGTCGTGTTTTAAATAATTTATTGTATTGTTAGATATAAAAGAAGAATCATTCACATGCCTTCTTGTAATAATTTAAGCTTTGGGATGCGTAGTTTGCAAGATGGTTTTGGACTCTTTATGATCATATTGTTTAGAGCCCAATCCTTGTTGTCATGATGTTCTTCTAAGTGATAATTAAATTTTAGCAGAAGTAACGCTGGCCTGAGCATTGTTCAGGCTTCAAGTTCAAAAGGCTTTTACGTGTGAGGTTATGTTAGATAGAAAGCTATTTATGGGCCTTCACCCACCCAACAGCTTAAGATTATAGAATAGTTGGTTAATGACAACTATAATTGTATTACTTGTTGTCTTCCAACTAATTAAGTGGAGGCTGAAAATGGCTTGATATCTCTAACTTGTGAAATACCGTGAATTCTTATATTTTATTTGAATAAAAGTAAGCTGGATCAATATTGAAGAACGTGTACAAATGACACTTTTGTTCATTAAACTGACTGACCCTTTAGATATTGTTTGAAATTTTTTCCTTTAAAATGACCGAAGGAATATCTTGTTTAATAGCAGAGTTGGTTCATCTATTGTGTAGGTTAGGTTCTTATGGACTTCCCTTGTCCAACAGAAGAGAAGAAACAGATTTAGCCAGAACATAAGACTCCAATTATATTATTTTAGGGTGTAAAAAGTTCTCTATATTTAAAGTTGTGGTGATTTAAAAAAAAATATTATAGGCTTTGTATTTATCAACCATGAAATATTTGTACGGATTATAAAAATTCAGGATTAACGTAGACCATATGAACATTATGTCTTGCTAACCATGTGAACATGGATGACTTTAAATCCCATTTTATTTGTGTTTTTAATTTGAATATTGCAAAAATATATGTTACGAAGTTCTTTCCATAAATTTTCACTTGCTTACAGGATTAATAAGGTGCTGAGAATTATCCATCTGTGTCATCTATCAATATTTTTTACGCCAGATTGTCTTCCTTCTATTTAGGTTGCAGGAGCTGCTGTCATCTTTGAGGTGCAAAGAAGTTCAAGATCAGAAGCAAGAAAGGAAGAATTACGTAGACAGGAAATACAGGTTGTCTTTCTGCCTTCTCTGTTATGGATTATCTGTTGTGAGGGTGAAAATGAGGGATTTCATTGAAAAAAGTTGGTCTTCATGGAATCATTTATTTTCTCTGAATGCTATGAAGGATGAAACTTTTAAATTTGGATTTATTTCCCTCTCATCTAGGCTATACTTTCACCTACCTTTTTATTTAGTCTTGTTTTCTTCCATTGGAATTGGAGGAAGAAGTTATGGGGGACCAAAAATGATCTAAATCTCAACTATGTACTCAATTCTTTTTGTTACTTTTTACACTTTTTGCAGGCAATAAAGATGATGAATGAAGAGTTGGCTAGAGAAATTGAACTTCTTGCACACAAGCTTGAAGAGCTGGAACAACTTTCTAGAGGACGAGGACTACTTGGCACTCTTAACTTCAGACACACTCATGCCTCTGAAAATAGAAAATCCAATTGATTGTTGCAATTATTAAGCATTGCACACAGATTTTGTTACACAAATCATAGCTCTTCGTTTGGAAAGAAACATAACTGATAAAATGCGCAGAGTTAACTAACCTCACAAGAGAAATATAATAAAATGGTAGAACACATTTAATGCTTGTGGTCTTTTTGAAAATTTCAAAATTTCTAACTAACCTCACAAGAGAAATATAATAAAATGGTAGAACACATTTAATGCTTGTGGTCTTTTTGAAAATTTCAAAATTTCTTTTCCTTGGACGAATGCTACTTACTAACTACAATTTTCAAGGCTTTGGATAATCTACATTTGTTTCCCCCATAATTTTGTTTTTTGTTAATCATTTGTTACTGCTCTGGTGCCTCCTGGTCACTCAAATTGTGTTGTAATTTGGAACAATTTTCTGATATAAAACAAATACAAATCAGATGCAAGTTTAGTTTCCTTGGATTTAAAATACTACATATGGAATATAATAAATATCCTTAAATGAGTTACACTTCATGAAACAATTTATATTAACACTCTGCAATATCTAAGCCACCCAATTAACTTGAAAAAAAAAAAGTGATGTAATTATCATTTAACTAACGAATACATATAAGTTTTTATTGTTTTTTACTTCGTTTTTATATCTATGTTTTTATTTTATTGATGAAGCTACATTTAACCATTTCATAAATTTAAAGTATCTTTCTTATGTATTAAATATATTTTGTAAATGTAAATATTATTTCTAGAATTTGAGATGAGTGTAGAAATAAGAAAGATTTCATTTTCCCAGTATTTGGTGTTAGGTTAATTTGACTCTTCTATTTTAATTGGTGGGTAAGTCAAAACTTATGGATATGGGATGTTAATATCAGGCCATTGTCGCTAACACGATATTGCTATAGTTGTTTAATTTGTTTGGTTAATGAAAATGAATTTGTTTTGAGACGAGGAAAAAAAAACTTTTAAATTCTTCAAAAATAGAGCAAGATGATGATAAAAAACCTACTTAATATTTTTTATTTTTTTAAATAAATGAGAGAGAAAAACCCAAACCCTATTTAACTGAATGTTGATATTCAATTTCTATTAAGGTTTAGATATAAATGATTAAGCTTGTGTAAAGTGAAAAATAGAATAATTTAGATTAAAAAAATCATAAATTAATAATTTAGAAAAATACTTTTAATATAAATTTAATAAAAATAGATGTAAATATAAAATTGAGATATAATTTATTATAAAATAATTATTTTATAAAATTTTAAATAATATAAAAAAATATTTCAAAAAATAATTAAATATAGATAATTTTTTTTCACAATCCAATTATATATCTATATATAAATTCTAAATAAAAAATAAAAATTACATATCAAATTAAGAAATATAGAAAATAAATAAAAATTTATTAGTTCAATAATGGGCATTTATATGACCATAGAGGACAACAATATCATTTTGTGTATTAGGGTTAACTTTCAAACATTTTTGTTCTCTCATTTAAAGGTAATAAAATAATTTTATTGTGTATCTCACATATACATAAATGCAAAACTTTTCAAGTCCATGTATCCAAACTAACACTTTCCATCATTTTCATCTACTAATTTCTCTGTCAATAGTGCAATAATGAAAACAAACAAGAGTTAATAGAGTAGAGAAACACATTTGATTCTTAATGAAAAATAATTAAAATATGATAAATGATGTAGACGCTTCTTGGCAAATGTATTATCCTTTAAGAAATAAGAGGAGGATTTTTTTTTGTCAAAAAAATCCATAATAAAAGGGCAAAAGGCTATACTATTTTATTTATCTATAAATTTTTTTTTACTAATTTTAATAAATTTTTATAGTTTTGCCGAAATTGGATTCTTTCTATTTTTTATAAATAAATTTGCTTAAAAAGTTTTCCTAACTTATTATTTTTTATCAACCTTGTACACTTGCTCGCAAGAAATAAATATAATAATAATAATAATAATATAATACAATACTTATATTTTATATTAATTTATAAAAATAATATACAACATTATATATAATATTTAATATATAATATATAAGGAGACGTTATTTTGTTGTTTCTTAACCTAATCTTAATTGATGATAAAAAAAATATTAGACTAATAGAATACAATAGACGATCAAATAATATTTACAGAACATACAAATTATTTTATTTATTGTTTTTTAACCAAATTTTAATATAAAAATTTGAAAATGAAAAATAGAATAAAATAATCATATTATATTAAGAGACTAGTAAACTAAGTAACCGATTATAAGAAAATGTAAGTAATTATTTTGTCTTATTCTATTGTCATCTACCCTAAACATTAGTAATTGTGATTGGGAAAATCATTGTCACGCACGTTAGAAGGAAAAGAGAGAAAAGGCACAGAGCAAAAATTCTTGCTTCTGATTGAAGTTTCCAACGTGCACAAAATCACGCCATTATTAATAATTATTAATTATAGTAATAATGATAATAATTATCAGCACAAAAAAAAATCCTGCAAAATTCAGAGTAGAAAAGTAAGGGCTTCTTCCATTTCAAGAATTGGCTTCTCTGAGTCTCTCTTTGTGAGCTGATCCCAGTGGAGCCGTCACCTACCGCCACGCTTACCTTTTCTACGTGATCGTTTGCAACCCATTACCCCCTTCTCTCCAATTCAAGGCCAAAGGTAAAATACCCATCAAGCTAATTTCGGTTTAAGTTCAACTTAGATGTGTAAAGCCCCAAACTTGGCCAATTGGGGTGCTGCTTTTCATTTGGTTGCACCACAATTTTGAATTTTTTGTGTCACTGCTTTTTTTATTTTGTTGAAGAGTTTTATTGTGGACTGTGGTTGATCAGTGTTATGCATGAAACAAGATTCTGTTATATATGTATATGTTTGTGAAAGAAGTCTGTGTAGGTTAGCCCAATGCTTACGAACTGGATCAACCTAGGTTGGCCTTTTGCATTTATAAGATTTTTCTGATATGTTGTTATTTAATTGTGCGAATTAGTGCCCTACATTGGTTATTTTGTATTACTTGTTCTGGGAAGGTATGATGAGAGAAAGTTCCAAGGGAAAGTGTGGATCCTCTTCTCTTCAGTCCATGAAGGAGAAGGAAAAACACCTGGTGGATAAAATTCAAGGGATTTTCAACAATCTTCAGTGTGCAAGAAAAGACGGCAGGGGTAATGACATTGTGATCTTTGAGGAGCAGATGCATCAGTTGCTCCGCGAGTGGAAGGCAGAACTGGAGTCTCCAGCCACCTCCTTAGCTGTATGTATTTAGATTTTTGGTTATGGCTGTTTATAATGTCTGTTCTTTCTTTGTTCATCTCAAAAAAGAGTTGATGTTTGTTGTAAAATATGCTGGCAATGACATTCTGAAGGATGGAAGCTTTGATTCGTTTACCAGCGAACTAGCCCAACTGTTGCAAGTGATTGAGGAGAAAGATGATGCAACTAGTCCATTAACTAAACCTGGGCCATTGAAGACTGAGCTCCAAACAAGCAACATTAGTGACAACAATTTTCAGTTTTTTCAAGACGTAAGTTTCTTTCACTAGTGCCGGAGAGTCATTTTTATATTTGTGGTTTGGTTTGGTGCCTTACCCTATTCACTACCTGCACTACTTTTTTTATTGTACATGCTGGCTGTATGCTTTTGATATAATTTCTTACGGTTAAAGATTAAAAATATGAGATATGGAATGTGTATTGTTAATCTATAAAAGTCTCTGCTGAATGACCTAACCATATGGAAAAATTTCCAAGGTCAGGTGAAGCTTGTGTTTTCTGAGTTTGAAATTTGAATAAGGAAAAAGATTATATGTTTAACTCTGGCGGATTTGGTCATATAATACCGATACATGACATGTTCATGGCCTTAATTAATTGGAAGTGTTGACTTCAAATAGTTCAAGTGCTTTTCTTGGTGTTAGATAGTAAACAAAAAACATCTATGAGAAATCTTGAAGTTATAAAACTCATTGGTTAAGATATTATTCCAAATTTTGTTTGTGTGGAAATTGAACAAGAGTCCAATACCATAACGCTACCCATATGGTATCGCTTGAGCCCAAGTGTTAGGAACACCAAGTCATCTAGTTACTTGATGTAAGTCAAACATGCAGCCTCGTTTAAATTTATATTTCCAGGTTGATTCCAACGTGTTAAACTTCATTGGTTGAGGGAGAATTACAAAAAGTGAGCCCTTACAAAATATGTTTACAACAAATTGGTCAATACTTGAGTGGGTTGTTTTTCCTAAATGGAAATATGTTTACAACAAATTCTTCTTTTTTAATTTTCTCACAAAAAAAAAAAAAAAAAACAACTGATGCACATGTATGAAGAGATAGAATATGCATGAACTAAATGATCTTTTCTGTTTAATAATATTTTTGTGCTTTACTGATTAGTCTTCAATTTTCTCGTTTTTCTTGAAGTGATAATAATTGGCACTTGGTATCTTGCAGAAGCATTTTGATGATAACCAACCTCTAGGTCATAATTTTGAAGGCTCTGCTTCAACTCTGTACAACAATGCTTTTAATAACTCAGATATGGCACAGTTGGATTTTCATCCATTCAGTTTAAATCAAGATATGAATCACAACCCAGTAGGTCACAACTCTGATTTGATTGGTCAGTTGGATGTATATCAGGACCTCAGGCACAACACAGAAATAAAAAACTCAGAATCAACTCAATTTAGTTTAGAAGGTTTTGATTGTAGCCAATTCTTTGGAGCTGAGGACACTGTGCAGCATGGAGAAAACATTATACCAAACATTCTTCCAAATATTTGCCCTCCACCTTCTGCCTTCTTAGCCCCAAAATGTGCCCTGTGGGACTGTTTCAGACCTGCTCAAGGGGTAGAATGGTGTCAGAATTACTGTAGCAGTTGCCATGAGCTATTGGCAAATAATGAGGGTCTGCCTGGCATGACTCCAATTTTGCGACCTGGGGGCATTGGTGTAAAAGATGGTCCTTTGTTTGCTGCTGTTCTTGCTAAGACACAGGGCAAGGAAGTGGGCATCCCTAGTTGTGAAGGCGCTGCATCAACTAAATCCCCCTGGAATGCTCCAGGTGAGTACATAAGGAGTTTATTACCTCTCTGTTGCATCTGACTACTTAATTTAGGATAAAGCATACATACATTGATAGTGTAAAAGTTTTCTTACGTTGTTATCCAATCAGAGACTGTGATGTGTGGTAAGTTTGTTGAATTTATAATAACTATCTTAGAATTATGTTAAGAATAATTTGGTTGATAATGTATAAGTTTTTACATTGACTGTGTACGAATTAAACTCTTAATTTTGTTGAATTTTTCAATAAATCTTTGCAAATTCTATCAATTGGCTTGTGTAATGAATGTGTTATAGAAGAATTGTTACTGTCCATGGTTTTTGCTTTTTGTCTATATTGTTTAGTTTTGAATTGTTACCTTTTCTCTGGTGCAGAGTTCTTTGATCTTTCTTTTCTTGAGGGTGAAACTGTTAGGGAGTGGCTCTTCTTCGACAAGCCTAGAAGGGCATTTGAAAGTGGTAATAGAAAACAAAGATCACTTCCAGATTACAGCGGTCGCGGTTGGCATGAATCGAGGAAGCAGGTGATGAAAGAACATGGGGGACAAAAGAGGTCCTATTACATGGACCCTCAGCCCCTTTCTTATCTCGAGTGGCATTTGTACGAGTATGAGATCAACAACCATGATGGTTGTGCATTATACAGACTAGAATTAAAGCTTGTGGATAAAAAGAAAAGTCCTAAAGGAAAAGTTACCAAGGAATCTCTTAATGATTTACAGAACAAGATGGGGCAGCTTACTGCTGCTGTTCTATCATGTGATGATGGAGTACCCATCAAGGGAAAAACAAATGCCAAGTCTGAGAATGATGGATCTCCTGAAAAGTAAAATACTCAGTTGGGAGACTTTACCATATGACTGACCAACAATGGAAACTTGTACATATTGGAGGATAAATCACAACATGTGAAAGTTTCATACTTTCCTTGAACAAGGTAAAAGGCAAATGGAATTTTCTTGTGGTAGAAGGTGCTCATAGTTTTGTGCTGAATTTGTCGTTAATTATACTTTTGATATTGGCATTTTTGGAAGTCTACTCATAAGAAACTCGTTATGTGCTTCATAGATTATAAATTAGATCTATGTTATTAGGAAGATTCTGCATACTTTCTGATGGTTCAGTGGGAGTTTCCTTTGTTGGCTACTTGGCTATCACCCAAATTTCTGACATATTCTTAAAACTTAGTAGCATTTTTGTGGTTGTAAATGTTCTCTAATGGTGGGATTATTTTTAACGTATATAACTAGTACAATGCTGCAATTCCATGAGGAATGCAAAATCGAATTTGTGTATAGATATAACATGCATGTCTTTTGCCTTCTGTTGAATCAGACATCACTGCTCAGTTTTTAATGCATGTTTGGTTTTAAGTTTGGAACATCCCAAAACAGCTTTAGGCAAAAGTTGGTCTCTTGTGCATTTAACCTGCAAACTCCTGGGAATTACTATTTTGAAGGAAAACGTGTTATTAAGAGAACAATCTTTCACATTTTCTTCTCTCCATCTTTTTTTTTTTTTTTTTCACCTTGTTTTCTCTCTACTGTTGACCTTTGCCAAAATTCTCCTATTTTCAATCATTTTTCTATGTATCAACCCAAAAAAATAATTTGGTTTGGTGATAAAATAGTTCAGATCAGTTCATTGTTGAATAGTAGGTTCAAATTTGATAACAAACTGTTTTTCAATTTGGTTTGAAAAAACTATGTCCAGTTTGGGCAAATTATTTTTCAAATAACTCAAATTATTCTCTGCCACAATACAATTGGCAATTTCTACATAGCTGCCATGTTTAGGCATTCAAAGAAAAATTCTCCATTGGTCGCATCTCCAAAAATTTTCAATGCCACAACATAATCTTCTACATGGCGAAACCAAGTCCAAAGCTCAATAACATCATATTTCATATTTCAAGCTCTAATCAAATAGATCTTTCTTTAACAAGTAATTACTTGTTAAGTGTGTGACCTCCCTTTTTTATATTTTAATATATATTCTAATTAATAATTTAATTATATTTTGAGAGTAAATTATTTTTTATTAATTTTTGACAAAAGTAAAATATTAGATAAATATTTATATATATATATAATTTATAATTTTATAGTATTTTCATGTAAAAAAAATGTTAAAGTTCCTTTAAAAATATTAAATTATCAATAATATTTATGTATCTTATAAAAACTTACTTGTTAAATAATCATAATTATAAAATAGATAAATAGAATAAGATTATGAATATCTTACTAAACAATTATAATTATGAATAAAATAAATAAGATGATAGATGTTTCAAATTTTTTTACTTTAATAATTACTAAAAAAAATATATACTAAATTAAATTAGAAGTCATTCTACAATTTTTTATTATTTTCTTTCTCTTTTCCTTCTTTTATTCTTCTCTTTCTACTTTTCCTTTGTCTGCTTCTCTTTTTCCTTTTTTTTTTCACCCATATAAGTCTTCATTATACTAAATTGATTTTACTTATTTTTTTAACCATTAATTATATGCTGATCTCTTCCTAGAATAGATAAACCTCTTGTCTTCTTGTATTTTTAAAATAATTTTTATAAATAAGTAAATAAATATTTTATTATAAAAATATTTAAATTTATTTAAAAATATTATAATTTAATATATTATACTTGAAAAATATATTATATGCTAAATTTTGAAGTGTGAAAAAAATAAACTTATTAATTAAACAATTATTATTTACATGTCCTAGTTTCACACACACACATATATATATATATATATATATATATATATATATATATATATTTTTTTTTAAATACTGTTCAGATTTTATTTTTTCTTATCATCACTCTTCGTCTTAATTTTTTTTTCATCACTTTATTTTTCTTTGTAGCTATTAATTAACATTTGGTGTCAACCCAATTTATTTTCTTGACCATTTACTTGTTGAATGCTATATCTCTTAATTTTTCTTTTGCTTAAAAATATCAACTTATCTCAGAGGACCTGCTTAGGTGAGGCATTGCAAATTTTGTAATCTATATAAGTCATTTATGATTTGATCTCAAAACCTTAAATAATTATAAAATATATTTATAATTTATATTAGTCATTTATGATCTGATCTCAAAAACTTAAATGATTATGAAATATATCTAATTTCTTACCCTTTTATACTTTTTTATATTTATTTATTATTATATAATATATATATATTATTGGATCTCTTCCTATAATAATCCATTGTTATTTTCTGTTTATTTTTATCTTTTTCAGTTTTTTAATCATTACTAAAATTTAGTCATTAACTTTAAGCTTTATACATTAATTATTGAATGTAACATGTTTAACGTGACATCAATTTGTAAAGATTAGGGCAATAAAGATCAAAGTTTACATGTTGAATTCTACTACTCGTACGAGTTTGAGATTACCATATATGCTTCCACATAGAAGCTTTTAACACATGACAACTCCACACACATGAAAACTTATTTGGCTCGTAACACATCAAAAGAAAGAAAATTCCACACATAAGAAAATTTTGATTTGACCTTAACTTTAGGTTCCATCATGTAAATTAGTTACCATGATCAAATGCAACCATCATTACTCTACAAGTCAAACTCCTTTATCAACAATCTCTTGGAGCCTCATGCAGAAGTTGTCAACATAAGAGGACTCCAAATCTTTGTCAAGCAGTGTCTCTCTGAGCCTAGCATGATTATCCCTCACCTTTTTGCTAGTTTCATTCTCCTGATCCATTACAATGCTCACAGCTGTGCACACACTCTCCTTTGTGTACTTTCCATCCTCACCTTTCTCCACTTCCACACCAACCTCCAAGTTGTTCGCCATCATCCTTGCATTCAGGATCTGGTCACCAACGTTAGGCAGTAGCACCAACTGACACTTGTTCACCAGTGCCTCAGACAAAGATCCTGACCCACAATGTGTGATGAAGCAACCTACAGAAGGGTGTGCCAGAATCAACTGCTGCAGAACCCACCCTCCATACACAAACCCTCTACCTTGAATCTTCTCTTCAAACCCTTCAGGCATTGCTGATTCCACTGTCTCAAACCCTACCGGAGGCTTCACTGCTGCCAAGAATGGCATGCCAGTGAGCTCAAGGCCAAGCATCAACTCTTGGAACTGATCTGGCCTCAAAGTGCATTCACTCCCAAAACAACAATAAACCACAGAGCCTGGTTCAAACCCTCCAAGCCATGTGGAGAATTTCTCCTCCAATTCAGTGGTTGGTGGCTCTAGAATAACTGGACCACTTGCAAGCACAGGCTTGTTAAACTGGTTTCCAATGAATTCAAGATACGGCCCTTCAATTTCTCTGCATGTTCTGTATGCCAAGGCATCAGCTTCATTCAGTGCAATGAATTGGCGATCGTAGAAGAGAACACCGCTCCCATATTGCTCCTTTCTTTTCGCAGCAAATGCACGAGCCTCGTGAGCATGAAGCTTGATGGATGAGTCAGGGTACCTATCTTGCATTGATGCATTATGCGTGTTAGATAATTGAAAAACAATGTTTTCATAGTTTTTATATTGTAGATATTTGAAAAATATGTTTCAATTAAACTTAACATGGTGATTTTGAGCCTCAATCTTTAAAAATATTTGGATTTAATTTTTACATAACTTCAAAAAGTACGATGAATTCTTAGAGAAAAAAGATATTGAATCTACATAATTTTTAAATTCTAAAGAACAATTTAATATATGTGAAATTAAAGAGAAGATTTTTTTTTCCTACATATTTCTATGTCTCATGCAGTAGTTGTACAAGATTTTCATAAAAAAGATAAACGTTTTTTGATAGAGTGTTGATGATGAGTAGGGTACCCTTCAGGGGGTTCCATGAGGTCACTTTCTGATAGGTCAGTCCCTTGGTGATATCTGGCTGGTGTGAGAGTGTAACCAACCATCACAGAGCTAGCAGTGCAATAGTGCACAGCCTTGATGCCTAACTTCTTTGTCAAGCTTGGCATCCAATGTGTGAAGTCATAGAAGACAAGGTCAGGTTTGAGGTCAGTAAGAAGGGTTTCAATGTCATGTTTGGTGAGATCCATGGCTGTCATGATGCTTGGTTGCAAAGGGTAAGGGACATCTGCAGTGGTTTGCGCATCAGCGGGAAGCCCTTCAACGTGAGGAACTTTGATGGTAATAAATATGATGAACTCAGGGTGCAAGTTGAATGATTCCAACTTGGCTTGTGCTTTTGGGGGAGTAATGAAAGAGATTCTGTGACCCCTTACGGCTAACTTGTTACATAGGTGGAGGAATGCGGTTTGGTGACCCATGGCTAACCATGGATACATTGCTATGTGCAAAGGACGTGGCTCCATGACTCTGCAAACAGAAAATTGAGAAAGTTAACACCAAAAGAAACTGCAGAGGAGATAAAAGTGGAAAGAGAGTAAGGTTATTGCTAACAATGTGGAGAACAACCGATAGTAGCGGAGATCCTTGTGTTCTTGTTTATAAAATCATGTGTTGAAAACCACTTGTATATATACAACTGGTTGAGAAGGTATGCGTATCCTTATTTTTAATTAGGAAATTGAAATCCCATTTTATTATATTATTATTATTATTATTATTATTATTATGACTAACAGGTGGAAAAAGGTATACATTTTTTTATAATTAATTTTTTAAAAAGTATTTTAAATTTTATTTTTCTTTTAATTTTTAATTTGTTTCTGTTTTTTATATTTTACTTTTTTAAAATATATAAATTATAATAATAATTTTTTCTTTAAATTATAATATTTTTTTATTTTTCTCTCTCATACTAAAAACGATTGTAAAAATCATATATAATTATAGATAGATGGCTACCTTTGAATTAACTATTGAAACATTAGGCGGTGGGTGGTGTTGAACGTACAGTAGGCGTGGGTGGTGTGCCAACCACCGTGTTGTGTTGATGGATATATTTGCATTCATGATATCCCCTCACATGTCACCCATCTACATCTTACTTTGATATGTTTTATTTAATGTTATATATATTTTACAAAATACAAACATACCATGAAATTATATTGTCATGTAGTGAATAAAACTGTAATTAGTTATCAATAGAGTAAACAAGCTTCTCATCTATAATTATATTATCAATTAATATATTCATACTCACTTAACATTTCACCGCATATATTATATGCTCATGCTTCATTTTTTTTATAAAGAATATAAAAGGACTAAAATTTTAAATTAAAATAATATAAATTAAATTAGCAAAGTTGAAATAAAGGCTTAAAAATAGTATTTAATGTCAAAAAATTGGTTTAGGATGTGTTTTTTAAATATCATATTTTGCTATAAGGATATCTTGTTGTTTAAGAAAATTGTATAGTAAAGATATCACTTTGCTGTATTTTTCTCAAGTAAAAGATTTTCAATGAAATAAGACTTTTTTTTTTTTTGATATATTTTGGTTTAAATGAAATAATTTTTGCTCAAAAGCCAAAATTTTGAAAGTTTTTTTTCCAAATTTTTAATTGAACTCTAAATTTAATATTTTATATATACAAATTAAAATCCTTAAAATAAAAAATTAAAAAAATAAAAATTTTAAAAATCTATAAAAAAATAAACAAGATCAAATTATAAAATTTTATTTTTATTATAACATAAGAAAATTTATAAAATAAGAATTAGAAAAATCTATAAAAAATAAACAAGATCAAATTCCAAAAATTTATTTTTATTATAATATGAAAAATCACACATATATATAACTTAGAATATTAAAATGTATATTATAAATTTAAAAATAAAATGTTATTATATGTATAAAAAAATATAGTGTTGTGAGGAATATCATATAATATTATTATACGTCAGTTATATATATATATATATATATATATATATATATATATATATATATATATATATATATATGAATGATGTATATATATATATGAATGATGTATTAAAAAATTAATATAATGATTTTTAATATAAAATACTTAATATATTAAATTTGGGATTTTGAAGAAGATATGATAATTAATAAGATTCACGTAGAAAAAAATATCAAATGTTAAAAATTAAATGAGATTTTATGATTTAATTTGTAATGTAAAAAATAAAATAAAATTATATCTAATAAGTCTTAAAATTATATTTAATAAGTTTATATGAGAAAACGTATTCTAAATATGTACTTATGTTAGGAAGATTTATTTAAAAAAATTAGTGTGATAAATTAAATGTTTGAGTCTAAATTCAATTTATGTAAATATTCGAAAAATAGAAGTAGGTGTGTAATTTTGAGTGTTAATATATAGTGAAATAAGATGTAGCTATGAGAAATTAAACACTTAGTTTATTATACGTAACTTTATCCCCTTGACTTTCTGGTCTATTTATCTGAATTACAAAATATTATTACACTGAACAAATAAAGACCTTATGTAATATTATATTACTTCTTTTGAAATATTAGACAAGTACCATAAATAGTTAAATATATATGCTTAAATATTTTAATGTTGTTATCATGAGAATAAAATTTTATAATTATAATTTTTTAATAAATTTTAGTATAATAAAAATTATATTGAAAAATTCTTTTAAAATTAATTTGTACCAAACATAACCAAAATTTCTGTTTTATTATGATTAGAAAACATATATATATATATATATATATATATATATATATATATATATACCATTTAAGTTGTTTTTTTTTAATGAATGCATATGTATATTTTTTATATAGAAAAATACAAAAGTGAGAGGTGTGGCGGCGCTGTATGATTCCCAAATTTTATTGTATGGATTGTGTGGACCCCAATTTTAATGCTACCGACAGTTGTGTTAATCTTCTACCTCTCCCCAATTTTTCTAATTCTTTTTTATTTACCAACTATAAAAAAATACTACTTAGATATTAAATATTTGATTTCGTAATTACAAAAAGTATCTTTGAAGTTTTAGAAGTTAAAAAACTTAGCTTTGTATTTGAATTATTTTTTTGAGTTCGAATTGCAATTTTGACCTGATAGCAGAAGCTTCTATGTGTTTTGATTGAAAAATTATTATCCTTTGTTGAATTATTTACAATTTTTAATTATATAAAAATCTTTTCGTAGACCTTGTTTCTCTCTACGCATTATGTGACTATTTACTAGTTATGCAAATAAATACCTTTAATTTATTATTTGATTGGTATAAAAATGTTCTTACTGCATCAATTTCAATTGAATAGACAATCGATATTACCACAAGTTTTGTAACTTTTTTAAGTAAAATGACTTTTTGTGTAGATTATTCTTTTTTTTTCAGTGAAAATGAATAGTCATATAAGAGATTGTTTATGTTAACAATTTATAATATGTTAATCTTTTCTTACTTTTGATAAATCCATTTATCATAAATCAATATTATTATGTAATTTTTATATAATTTTTTTTAATAATAACCGATGTTGTATTATTTTTTTATTATTTTGTGATTTTTTTTTAAATTTCACACTTTTTTTTTCGATTTTTCGTTTTGCACGAGTAAGAGTGGAGATTTTATTCATAGAATAAAATGATTTAATAGAATGAAATTTGAATTTTTATCATGTAAAAAAAGTTATAAATAATTATTATTATAAAATAAATTCGTATTTTATCATCTGTTATTACTCTAAATCTTAAATCTTAAACCTCGTCCCAATCTTGTAATCATAAAAATTATAGACGTTTTTAATTGAATTTGGTTTAATAATTTCATTTATAAGATAGATAATGTCTGACGAAGATTTTGGTAAAATGATAAAAATATATAAAAGATAAAGTTGTCACTAATATTTATTTAAAATTTATTAAAAAAATTAAAAAAATAAAATAGATGATTTACGAAATCAAATTTAAATTTGAGAGTTGATTATATATTATAATTAAATTTAAATTTGATAGTTGATTATTGTAAGTAAAAAGTGTTGACAAATTTTGGGTCATGTATATATATATATGATACATATTTAAATGTGTTAGAGTAATTATTTATTAAGCCAAATAATGAAGTGATCTGAATAAATTAAAGTTTTGGTTAAAGGCCTATGTCATGAAAATATAATTGTGTAGAGACCATAGAGTAATTTCTAATTTGATGAGGGACCAAATTGAAAATACTAAAACTTAAGTAATTAACCTAATTTTGGTTATTTAAAGGGTCATGGTCCCCTTCTGGGATCACACAGACAGAACGTTCTTTCTATCCCCATCAAGAGAGAAAATCAAGAGGGAAAATACAGGTGCTCTTCAGGTGGAAGACCTTAAGATCAAATCAAAAGTGCTCTACAAAGAATATCGTCATTATGACCAATTTAGGTACGCTTTCGCATTTAGTTTATATTATGTTTACAGTATGAGATTATAGATATATGTTTGATCATTAGAATGAATATCATATTCAATTATAGTTTAACCTAACAATTGGTATCAGAGCAACCCATACTTAATTCATGTTTGTATTTGGAAATTACATTTAACAAAATTCAGATTGTGGCTAATTAAGAACCATAATTGGAGAATAATCTCCCATTTTTGTAACCCCTAAATTTAAATTTGGGGGTAAATTCTCAAATTTTAAACCTAGTTTCGAATTTGGGGTAAATTCCCAAATTCCCAAATCAGACGAGATAGGCGTCCTCACTCGCAAGGTACACACATTATCGTAGTTCCTAAGCAGATCCTCTACCATGGCTTTAGTCTTAGAGTAAAAGGAACCGGTGAAATTGGGAGTGTCCAGTTCTTTGAAGCCGATTCAAGATCCGAGAGGATGATCGGAATCGTACTCGAATATGCAACCGGTGGCGTAGTTGAGGAAAATGGAGGCAGCTCTTGGAAACTCAAAAGATTATTCGCTGAAACAATATCTAAAATTCGTAGATAAGTTGCAGATGAAAGCGAAGGAACTAAGTTCAGAAGTGGACTCATTTACCCCATCTGATGTAGAAAGGGTCTTGCGGAGGATGCGCTTGTTCACCTTCAGGTTGCGCTTCAGGGCCGGCATCACGGGCGCGATATCAGTGAGGACCAAGTCCGTTAGGCTCAATAGGAACAGGCCCATGCCCGCCACGCCGCAGCCCGTGCCCAGTTCCACGACTCGTTTGCCTCCGAAGTCCAGGACGCGGGCGTAGGGGTTGTTGTCCGTTGGTGGGGCCCATCGCTCCGCGAATTTGACGAGGACGAGGGAGCAGGGCCACACGGAGGTTCCCACGTTATATCTATTTGCGTTGGTTACTTAAGTGAACTTCAGGATAAAGCAAGCATAAAACATATCTGTTTTGGAAGTGGGCCACCGGCGCAATGATGGTCATAATTAAAAATAATAAATAAAGAGCATATGTTTAAACAAAATTACGAGTGCCTCAATTAGACTCTTATAAATTTTCCATCTTTAAAATTATAAATATTTGGTTCTATTATATAAATAAAATATTAATTTATTTGATAGTTTAATATTTTTGTGAACAAATTGAGTCAAGAAGTTACTAAAGTAACCTCTCTTGAATTGGGTAGTTCATAAAAAATATTGAATGTTTGTGTTTGTGTATATTCATGCGAGTATTAGTTGGCCCAAAGGAAGATTAATCTTTGGCCGAATTACATACACACCTGTAATGATAAACATGTGATCATTATAAGGATTTGCTTTGTCGATGATAAATCAATTCAAAGACTGGTTTGTTGTTGGACGTGCTTTATTGTCAATGTTTGATTATTACAACAAGATACCTCTAGCAGTTAATATTACTGTCCAAAGACTTGATATTGATGGTGCATTGGGTGTCTTTAGATGAGTTAAACCATTATTTGAATATATATTTTATTTATAATTATTTATTTTTACAATGTGAGCATAATAAATTTATTTCTCTTGTTTTTAATTTAGCAACAATTGTTTTTGTATCTACCAATTTAAATTATGTTCCGATCCTCAAAAGTATGTTTCCTATTTTGGTCTGTTCTGAAGTCAATTTAGCGTCAGTACCTAGTAACACTTGGTGGTTAGACTCAGGTGCAACTACTAACATCAGTGTTTCTATGAAGGGTTGCCTAAGCTACCGGAAGCCAATTGATTCTGAAAGATGGATATATGTTGGAGATGACAAATCGGTAGAGGTGGAAGCTATAGGGCATTTTAAATTGTTATTAAGTACTGGTTTTTATTTGGATTTGAAAGACACTTTTGTTGTGCCGTCATTTAGACGAAATTTGGTTTCAGTTTCTTATCTGGACAAATTAAGTTATTTGTGTTCATTTGGAAACAATAAGTTCAGTTTGTCTTTTAATTCAGATATTGTTGGAACTGGTTCACTTTTGCCTTATGATAATCTGTATTTACTTGATACTGTGACCACCTATAATGAAACCCTTAATACCGAATCACGGGGTACTAAACGTAAAATTGATGATACTCACTCAGGAGCATTATGGCACAGGCGATTAGGTCACATATCTAAAAATAGAATTGAACGACTTGTGTCAACTGGAATTTTAGAGTCCATTGACTTCTCAAAATTTGATGTTTGTGTTGAATGCATTAAGGGCAAACAGACCAAAGCGAAGAGATTAGGTGCATATAAAGCTACAGACGTCTTAGAGTTGATACATACGGACATTTGTGGGCCATTTCCTACACCTTCGTGGAATGGTCAACAATACTTTATATCATTCATAGACGATTACTCACGATATGCATACTTATTCCTTATACATGAAAAGTCACAATCTCTAGACGTGTTCAAAACATTTAAAGCTGAAATTGAAAATCAACTCAATAAAAGAATTAAGTCTGTCAGATCTGATCGTGGTGGTGAGTACTATGGCAGATTTGACGGGTCAGGTGAACAACGTCCAGGACCTTTTGCCAGGTACCTAGAGGAGTGTGGAATTGTCCCACAGTATACCATGCCGGGATCACCTAGCATGAATGGTGTAGCTGAAAGACGAAACCGGACTCTTAAAGATAAGGTCAGGAGTATGATTTGTCATTCCACCTTACCAGAGTCACTCTGGGGAGAGGCACTAAAGACGACAGCTTATATTCTGAACAGAGTACCAACTAAAGCAGTGCCCAAAACACCTTATGAGCTTTGGACTGGGCGAAAACCTAGTTTGAAGCATTTCCATGTGTGGGGTTGTCCAGCTGAGGCAAGGCCTTATAAGCCAAATGAAAAGAAATTGGACTCCCGAACAGTAAGTAGTTATTTTATTGGTTATGCTGAAAGATCCAGGGGATATAAATTTTATGATCCCACATTAAAGACAATTTTTGAGACGGGAACTGCTACGTTCTTTGAGGATATTGAGTTTGGGGGGAAGAATAAAATCAGGAACTTTGTCTTGGAGGAAGAATCGGTAACAATTCCAAAACCGATTCAAACAGTTACTTTTGATAAAGTAAGTTCGGAACCTCCACAATGCATTGTTAATGAACCCCTTACTCAAGATGATTTGGTTGTTCATGAAGAACAAACTCAAGATCCTCAAGAACCTGTGCATCATGAGCCAATAACTTTGCGGAGATCCACTAGAGAAAGAAGAAGTGTTATTTCGGATGATTACATGGTATTTCTTCAGGAACATGAGGAAAACAATGGTATGATGGAAGATGACCCAGTTAACTTCCGTCAAGCCATGCAAGGTTCTAACTCTGAAAAGTGGATTGAAGCAATGAAGGAGGAGTATAAGTCCATGCAAGACAACAAGGTTTGAGAACTTGTCCCATTACCAGAAGGTATGAGACCCATTGGTTGCAAGTGGATATTTAAGACCAAACGGGATTCTAAAGGTAATGTGGAAAGGTATAAGGCTCGTCTGGTAGCTAAGGGCTATACCCAAAAGGAAGGGATTGACTTTAAAGAGACTTTCTCTCCAGTTTCATCGAAAGACTCTTTTAGGACAATCATGGCTCTTGTAGCACATTATGATTTGGAGCTTCATCAAATGGATGTCAAGACGGCGTTTCTTAATGGCAACATTGATGAGACGATTTATATGGTGCAACCAGAAAATTTTGTGCAGGGAGATTCAAAGAGTATGGTTTGCAAACTGACAAAATCTATTTATGGACTAAAACAAGCATCTCGTCAATGGTACTATAAATTTCATCAAGTAATTCTCTCATTTGGCTTTGAGATGAATATTATTGATGATTGTGTATATCACAAGTTTAAGGGGAGTAAGTATATTTTCCTGATCTTGTATGTTGATGACATTCTACTTGCCACTAATGATATAGACATATTGTACGAAACCAAGAAATTTTTATCAAAGAATTTTGAAATGAAAGATCTTGGTGATGCGTCTTTTGTATTAGGAATTCAGATACACCGAGATCGATGTCGGGGTATTTTAGGATTATCACAAAGGAACTATATCGAAAAAATTCTTAAAAGGTTTAGCATGCATGAATGTAAATCCGGAGATACTCCAATTGCTAAGGGAGACAAGTTTAGTCTCAATCAGTGTTCAAAGGGAAATTTGGAAATTGAGGAAATGCAAAAGATTCCCTATGCATCAGCTGTAGGGAGTTTGATGTATGACCAAGTATGTACGCGTCCAGACATAGCATACATAGTTGGGGTTCTAGGCAGATATTTAAGCAATCCAGGAATGGACCATTGGAAAGCAGCAAAAAGGGTCATGAGATATTTAAAGAGAACAAAAGATTACATGCTCACATACAGGAGGTCAGACCAGTTGGAGATCGCTGGGTTTTCTGATTCGGACTTTGCAGGATGTCAAGATAGTTTGAAATCCACTTCATGTTACATTTTCATGTTAGCAGGTGGTGCGGTTTCTTGGCGCAGTGTCAAGCAAACCCTTACAGCTTCATCCACTATGGCAGCAGAATTTGTAGCATGCTATGAGGCATCGAATCACGGAATATGGCTGAGAAATTTTGTCACAGGGCTACAAATTGTGAAAGGCATTGAAAGACCACTTAAGTTATATTGTGACAACAAATCAGCCGTATTGTATTCCAACAACAACAGAAGTTCGACTAAGTCAAAACACATCGACATTAAGTTCCTAGTTGTTAAGGAAAGAGTACAGAGTGGACAGATTTCCATAGAACATTTAGGGACAAACTCCATGATAGTAGATCCTCTAACTAAAGGACTTCCGCCCAAGGTCTTTCATGAGCATGTTGCTCACATGGGTGTTTTACAGTTTGAGGAATTTGTGGTTTAGTGGGAGTTAGTCATTTTCATATATTTTATGTTCTATGTTTAATTTTATATATGTATACATTGTTTTTGGACATATTTGGTTATCTATAGATATGCGGTTTTTTTTGTTCATTCATTACACTTTGTACATTAAGGTTACTATATCGATCTCGATAAGTTAAAGTTTGGACCAGTTGAAAATAGACGTGTACAGATCACATTCACGTAATGTTTCATGCTACACATTTCATGATGAATCCATGTCATTTTGTTATGTCAGGATGAATAATCATTGTTGGTTTTAGTTGCGATGATGCAATGAAAAACTGGTTTGGTTCTATATCCTGATATGATTAATGGACAGGACTTTTAGAATATGCTAAAGGAATATAATGACAATTTTGAGCTCATAAAGTCTAACACATTTATAAGGTTGTAAAAACATATATATTTGTGACCAATGGGAGATTGTTGGCAAATTTTGGGTCATGTATATATATGATACATATTTTAATGTGTTAGGGTCATTATTTATTAAGCCAAATAATAAAGTGATCTGAATAAATTAAAGTTTTGGCTAAAGGCATATGTCATGAAAATATGATTGTGTAGAGACCATAGAGTAATTTCTAATTTGATGAGGGACCAAATTGAAAATACTAAAACTTAAGTAATTAACCTAATTTTGGTTATTTAAAGGGTCATGGTCCCCTTCTGGGAGCACACAGACAGAACGTAGTTACAGTCCCGTTCTTTTCTTTCTATCCCCATCAAGAGAGAAAATCAAGAGGGAAAATACAGGTGCTCTTCAGGTGGAAGACCTTAAGATCAAATCAAAAGTGCTCTACAAAGAATATCGTCATTATGGCCAATTCAGGTACGCTTTCGCATTTAGTTTATATCATGTTTACAATATGGGATTATAGATATATGTTTGATCATTAAAATGAATATCATATTCAATTACAGTTTAACCTAAGTAAAAAGAAGTATTAATATTATATCTGTTTCTTTTATTAAATATGAAAAAGTTAAATACTTAAATTTATTTATTTTACATTAGTTAAGATAATATTTTAGTATATATATATATATATATATTTAATATATAATTTTTTAAAATTAAATATTGTTTTTATTAAAAAAAAAACATAATTTTTTTCTATATGGAAATTATCTTTATTCCCAAGTATTATCATGTACACTAAAAAAAAATCAAAGTTATGTAATTTTTTAGTAGATAATATTTGTGAGTATTATATTTTTATTAAATTAAAATTATGATAAAATTAGTTTTAAAATTTAATAGTTGTATAATAATCAAATTAAAAGTATATTTAGAATGGTTATAATTATTTTTTTATAGTTTTAGTAATAATTAAGCTAAAAGTGAATTCAAAGTAATTACTACTAAAAATATATTTTAAAATTATTTATCACTTTCATTTTGAACATTTAAATATTTAAAAATAAGTATTTTATCATAACCAAATAAAAAATATGCCTAAAATAATCATTGTAGTTTTATGATAATCAGCTGAATAATTTTCTAGAAAGATAATAAAATAAAATATTTGTTACAATTTCAATTAATAATAAAAAATATTATATATTTATTTTAACTTTTAAAAAATAATGATTACATTCTTTATATATTATCTCTATATCTATAAAATAATATTTTAATATTCATTTTATTATTTATTGTATTTTTAAGGAATTTATTAATTCTAAAAACATAAAATAAAGTTGCATCATATTTTCTATTTTACGTTTAGAATTTAATAATCAATTCCAAACACACAAATTAAAAAACACTGCTTGAATCCCTCTTTTATATTGAACTTCAAACCCAAAACTCTCAAAATCCAAATTTTACAAATTCCAAACGTACAAAATGAACTCTTTTTTTAACAATAAAAAAGTTGGATCACTGAAGCCCAAAACTTTTAATGATCAATTCCAAACACAACAATAAAGAAAACACACATTGAATACTCGGTTCTTTCTTTTTGCACCCCATTACTTTTTTTTGCTGTACCGCTATATTTATCTATAGGAACATTATCGCTCCAAATGTAAATATGTTCTTTAAAGTTTATTTTGAAAATTGTTTGGATTGATATTTTTGGAAGCTTCCCAGTTCCAGGATTAACTTTTCACAAATTAACTTATCTAAAACTTATTTCCAAATTGTTTATTATAAATATATTCCAATTCAACTATGCGAAATATCACATATATATATCTTTTACAAAAATTTTGACATATTATATCATTCAAAACATAAATCACCAACTTATACGCGGAGGTACAATAAATACATGGACAAGCATTGGTATAAAGGTGTGATACCAAAGAAAAAAAAAAACTGGTCTAAAATTTCTTTTTATTTTACATATTATTCCATTTTTGTTCTCTCCTTGTTTGTATTCTATGAAATAAATATATTTTATTCCATATGAAATAAATCCAGACTGCAAGATTATGATCACATGTGAAATCTGCTAAAAAAGATTCTCATGCACTCATACCAAGAAGAGGGAAAGGTACAAGACACATTGTTAGCTCTTTCATAGCATCCGTGAGTTAGCCACAAAATTGAACTTTCTGATAGAAAAAAATAATTTGTACATAATATAATATGTAGGTCACTTCAAGTTTATCATTATGCATGGATACAAATTTCAGCGGTATATAACAACAACCGTAAGAACTAATCTTAAAATGTTCAAAATTTAAATGTAAGTTAAAATTTAATATTAAGTAAAAATGAAAAAAATTAAATATCTTATAAAAAATATTCATAATTAAAATTTTGAGTTAAAGATAATATTAAATCCTCCATAAAAATAAGTAACAAAAATTCACTTTAATTTAATCAGTGCAGCATACAAAGTCTTATAATTATATTTTCTTACAATATGCCCATCTTCTTTTACGTCATTCTTCTCTGTCAATTCTCTAAAACAATCAGGCCTTGAAAAAGACACAAGAGGTTCTCTCAAATCATGTAGTTTTTGTTTTCGGGGTTAAATGATTTATCTTGGCCACAAAAAAGTGCGCCATTTATCTTTGGCACAAAATTACAATAATTAGTAGGATTACAACAATCATGAAATACCTAATTTAATTTAATTTGTCAATAAAATGATAATTGTATTTATATTTAATATAGAATTTTTTAAAGTATCCTTTCATACTAAACAAATATTGTTTTCATCACCCCTCATATTAAGAATAAATTATTCAATATTAATAGATAATTTATTTCTTAACCATTAACTGATAATAACTCCGTATGACTAAGAGTTATCTCTAAATATATAGACCACCCTCACAAACTTAATAAATAAAAATTGTAATTCCTTGTGTAATTATCATCGCTCCGTAGTCTACCTGCGATTTATTCCCGTGAAATCTATGCAAAGTACAATAATTGTATACAACTGCCCTTTCTGATCATCCTCACGATTGTCGAGTTTCTTCCGTGGCAAAGTTATGGAAGAAAATGCATGAAGATATTTACCTGGTATTATAAATAGACATAAGTAATATGAGATTGATACAACACAAACCTACCAAATTATATATGGAATCCCACGGTGAAGAGCATGCTGCAAAACTGCTTCGTGCTCAAATCCACGTTTGGAATCATATTTTCAAATTCATAAACTCCATGTCCCTTAAGTGTGCAGTTGACTTGAACATACCAGATATCATACACGAGTATGGCAAACCTATGCCACTCTCAAAACTCATTGCTTCCCTGAAAATCAACCCTTCCAAGACTTGTTTCATTTACCGCTTGATGAGAATTTTGACTCTTTCTGATTTTTTCTGTGAGCACGATGTCACCGAAAATGAGCTTGAAGTGAGGTATGGTCTAACTGATGTATCTAAACTACTCCTTAAGGACCATCCCTTTAGTTTGAGATGTTTTCCCCAATTCGTACATCCTCCAGTGGTTATCAATTCATGGTTTCAATTCTCTACTTGGTTGACAAATGAAGATCCTACCGCATTTCATACTGCAAATGGTATGGGATTTTGGGATTTTGCTGCGCGTGAGCCTAAATTCAATCACCTCTTCAGTGAGGCCATGGCTAGTGACAGTCGATTGGTTTCCAGTATGGTGATTGAGAAGTGTAAGAGAGTGTTTGAGGGATTAGAATCATTGGTTGATGTTGGAGGAGGAACAGGGACTATGGTTAAGGTCATTGCTGAGTCATTCCCACAACTAAAGTGCATTGTATTTGATCTGCCACATGTTGTTGGTGACTTGCAAGGAACTGAGAACATAAAATATGTTGGAGGGGATATGTTTCAAGCAATTCCACCTGCTGATGCCATTGTGTTGAAGGTAGGTAAATATATACTATCTAAGTTTCAATTATGTTAATTAATGGATGTTCGTCATGCGTCTAACTATTACGTCTGCAACCACTTTAATTGTTGCAGTGGTGACCGTAAAGATAGTTTTAAAATATTCATTTTGTTGAGAAGATTCTTATCATTGTTACTTTGACAAATAAGCAGTGGATATTGCATGACTGGAACGACGAAGAATGTGTGAAAATACTGAGTAATTGCAAGAAGGCAATAAGTAGCAAGGGCAAGGTTATCATCATTGAGATGGTGATGGGGAATAAGAAGGAAGACCGTGAATTAACTGAGACGGAGATTTTCTTTGATATGCAGATGATGGTAGTCTTTAATGGAAAAGAGAGAAATGATAAAGAGTGGGCCAGCCTCGTTTCCTCTGCTGGTTTCAGTAACTACAAGATTACTCCAGCTCTAGGTTTGGTTTCTATGATCGAGGTTTATCCATAGTTTTACCCACTCGACGAGTACAAGAGAAGAACCATGCTATGTATGTTTAACATAAATTTCCATATATGTTTTACTGTTTTCATTTAATTATCTGTTCCTGTTTATCATTTCTATAATTTGGCATCAAGGAAACAACGAATTTTCAACATAAATGGTAAGCACTAAGTAATGACTTCTCTGAAGTATCTATCAGTTCAAGACTCAGCCTGAGACAAACGGTCCACTGAACCAATTGCGCAGTTCTTCATCCATCAATCATTACAAAAAATAATACGTTCACAACCAACTTGTTAAAAAAAAACACACATAGGATTTGAACATTGGTTTTGAGCAATTAGTTATTGGGCATGGGGTTAGGTTTTCACCGATGGGACTAATTCAACACGCACTCATAAAGGACGAGAAAATGGCACGTCGCAGTCAAGCCATTCATTACTCGACTTCTTTTGGATCCAGGAAATATCAAATACGTGTACATCATTATTATTAACAACCAAAACTATTACCAAGTTCATGATATTTCTGTAACAGTGGAACAATTGAAAAGGAAGTTCTAAAATGATTTTTAATTCAAAAAAATTTTACACCATTAAAAATCTAAAACTTTGAAAACTTCTTAGCTTCGTTTAGACGTCAGTATTGTATTCTCGACTCAAAAACTTATTCACAACATATATAGATATACGGCGGTATATATGAATATATATATATATATATATATATATATATATATATATATATATATTAATTATAATATGAAATTTGATGATTATTTTATATTTGTGATTTGGTATTTTATAGTTGTGATTTGATGATATTAAATATTGTGTTGTATTAAAATTATGCTTTTGAATAATTGTTATATAATAATGACATATTTAGATAATTATATAATGTGTTGGAATATATGTTAAATAAAATATAAATATAATTTGGATATATAATTAAGATGAATATAATTAAGATAAAATTTAGTTCAGTTTTAATGTTTAACTCGAATCATTTAAGATGGAGCTAAATTAACTATTTAATTGTTTTAGATGAGTTATAGATGCTCTAGTTATTACTTTTTACCTATAGATTTGATGAGTCATGACAACTTGATCCTTTTACTCTAGATCACACTATATAAGAATATTAACTTACTGTCATAACTACATTCAATAATGATGGGTTACGATAATTAAGTTTAGTGATGACATGTTAATATAACTATATATCTAATATATTGTGATAACTAGTTCTTTCACTATAATCTTCTACTAGGTAAGTAATGATTTATTTAAAGTGTTACAGGAGCTACGTTCTTTCGATGTAGTCTCCGACGGGTGAATAAAGATTTGTTTAACGTGTTGCGAGAGCTACGTTATTTCACTTTAGTCTCTACGAGGCAAGTAAGATTTGTTTAATGTGCTACGGGAGCTATGTTCTTTTGCTTTAATTTCTACTGAGTGAGTAAATATTTGTTTGACATGCTACGAGAGCTACATTCTTTTGCTCTACTCTTTATTAGGCAAGTAATTCGATGTTTATCTTTAAGATTTCCATTAGCTTGTAGCAAAGTACAATAATAAATGTTTTGGTGAACTACAATGGGAGGATTTTTTGATAATGTATGGATTTACTTTGTTGGTGTGGTTACTGACATACTTCTATGTTAGATAATCATTTTCTTAATTAGTTCTTCTATCTTGTATGTCCCGTAAGAAATTAATTATATCGACCCTCCTAATTTGAGAAGAACTTTCATTTTCTTGTAATTAGTGAGTTTCTCTTACTTTTATGTACAATGTCAAATATTTCATATCATATCAAAGAAATATTAAATAAATATTTATACATCTTTGATCATATAAGATAATATTAAAATTATATTAATTATAAGTTTTAATCTATTATGATTTTTTTTAAATCACAATGTCATTTAATTTTAGTGATAAATAATATATAAAACTATAAATATATTTGAATTTGTAATATTAATGAATATTTTTTCTTAATAAATATATTCATTCATATGAAATGAAATTAATGATATTTATGAATTTAACATAATTTGTATGCCTAATAATAATAATAAAAAGAATCAAGAACATGTATCTCGAGGAAAATAGATAATTATATATTCCTCCATTTCACATTGTCATTTTTAAATTTAAATTGAAATAATAATAATATTAAAGAATCAAGACATATATCTCGAGGAATATATATATATATATATATATATATATATATATATATATATATTAATGCATCTTACATTATTATTTCTAAATTTAAATTTATATTTTGTGTTAGTATAATAATGGAGATGAGAAATACTTCCTAGAGAAAATTGAAAATATCTTATATTTATGCAAGGCATAATAATTTAGTATCTTGAAAATTTTATCTCGAGTAAAATATTAATATTGTGATTTATTATAAAAAAATATATTGATGATATAATATTTTATATAACACGATAACACAACACAATGATATGAGTTGTAAGATAATATTTCTTATTTTTAAATCACAAAATTTGTACGAGTAGTTGAATAAAAAAAGGAAAAAATGTTTTCTTTAACATTGAATAATTTACGAAAATATCTTTGAAGCCTTTTATTTAAAATTAATAAAAATAAAAATTTATAACTTTTTACTAGTTCACAAACATCACAATAAAATACAAGAAATATCATATATTCTAAATAGTTAAATTTTAACTTAAAACTAATTGATATTATGCGAAGTGACTAATAAACCATACTTGGAGAATTAAGATAGGTGATGCATGACTTTTCCTTATATCCCCTATCTACTAAGGATAATTAAGACATCTTGTGACCTTGACTAAAAATTTGTTTATTATAATAGGTGAGACAAATGAGACTCTGATGTACCATAACAAAAATTTGGATTATAGTAAAATAATAATGAAAGGAACATCTCAAAATATTGTATTTTGAAATATATCAGGATTACAACTGTGTAATCCTATTTATAATAATTCAAAATATTTTAGACGGTAAACATTATGTTTAAGAAAATTAGTTTTTTTCAATTAGGCCAATATATGCATCAATGTACAAGTATTATATAAATAAATGAAGGAACATATATTTTTTTTTAGGAATCAAATGAGACATAATCGAAATATTGATGTGGGAGTCAACTTTCATATTGTTTATTCTTCTCATCCTTTTTAGGGTTTAGGGTTTAGGGTTTAGGGTTTAGGGTTTAGGGTTTAGGGTTTAGGGTTTAGGGTTTAGTACTATAATTGTGAAAAATATGGACACTATTCTTATGAGTGTTGGCAGGAGGACACGACAAAGATGGGTAAAAAAGGAGAAGAGAAAGAGGAAAAGGTGGTAGGAGACCATATGATAAAAGAAGAATTCAGTACTATAATTGTGAAAAATATGGACACTATTCTTATGAGTGTTGGCAGGAGGACACGACAAAGATGGGTAAAAAAGGAGAAGAAGCAAATATGGCACAGGAAGAAGGAAATGGGTATGATTTAGACCAAGTACTATTGATGGCAACAACAAGCAGTGAGGAGGATAAAATGTCTTGGTACTTGGATACGGGGTGCTCCAATCATATGACTGGAAACAAGAATTAGTTGATTGACTTATCCATGTGTGATAAACAATGTTAAATTTGCAGATAATAGTTCTATTGTGGCAGAAGGAATTGGAAAGGTGATGATTACAAGGAAGGATGGTAAGGTGGCCTACATGAATGATGTTCTATACGTTCCAAGCATGAAGAATAACTTACTCAGCCTGGGACAACTTTTAGAGAAGGGCTACACCATGAACATGCAACAGAAGTTGATTGAGATTTATGACTCACAACAGAGACTCGTAATTAAGGCACCACTGTCCAAGAATAGGACATTTAAAGTAAATCTAGACACTACTGAAATATAGTGTCTAGCAGCTGACGTGGAGGATGAAAGTTGGTTGTGGCACTACAGATATGGACACCTGAATTTTAAAAGTTTGAATCAACTCAGTAGCAAGCAGATGGTAAAAGGGCTACCACAGATTTAGTTACCAGACAACATCTGTGAAGGATGTGTGATTGGAAAATAGTCCAAGAAGGCATTTACAGACTCTGCACCAAAGAGAGCTAAACAAGTGCTGGAAGTAGTGCATTCTGATGTGTGTGGTCCTCTAGACACACCATCACTAGGAGGAAATAAATATTTCCTCACATTTGTTGATGAGCTTTCAAGGAAAATTTGGGTGTACTTGATAAAGGAGAAAGGAGAGGTGTTTTCTGTTTTTGAAAAATTTTGTGCTCGTGTTGAAAGACAGGTTGACAGCAGGTTAAAAATCTTGAGGACTGATGGAGGTGGTAAATACAAGTCTAGAGAGTTCAACAAGTTTTGTGAAGAAAAGGGAATAATGCATGAGGTGACTGCTCCCTATACACCACAACACAACGGGCTGGCTGAGAGGAGAAACAAGATGTTGGTTGATATGACAAGATGCATGTTGAAAGGAAAAGGTCTACCACATGACTATTGGGGAGAGGTAGTAACTACTGCTGCCTATATTCTTAACAGGTGCCCAACCAAAAGATTGAAGTTTGAGACACCAGAAGAGGTCTGGTCTAGTGTCAAGCCACACATGCAACACTTGAAGATTTTTGGGTCAATATGTCATAGACATATTCCAGATGAGAAGAGGAGGAAACTAAATGACAAGAGTGAGCCCCTGATCTTGATTGGGTACCATCCAACGGGTGCATACAAGTTGTATGACCTAGAAAAACAGACAGTGGTGATTAGTAGGGATGTGATAGTAGACGAGGAAGCCAGCTGAAACTGGGAAGAAAAGGAGGAGGTTGTAACACAGATCTCGTGTGTTTTAGAAGATAAAATTGAGCCGTTAGCTGTTGTTTCAAACAACAGATGGACTCAGAGGATGAGGTTCCCTTCCACTAGACTTGCTGGACATGAAGTTTATGGAGATGGTGTAATTACAGGAGCTGGTGATCTAGTTCATCAAGCTTTGATGGCTGACACAGAACCCATAACCTGGAAGGAAGCCTTAAAGGTGAGAGAATGGAAGGATGCTATGAAAGAGGAGTTGGAGGCGATTGAGAAAAATAGAACATGAAAATTAGTCAAACTGCCACAAGGTAAACTGTCTATTGATGTGAAGTGGATTTTCAAGCTAAAATTGAAACCTGATAGAAGTGTGGTCAAACATATGGCCAGATTGGTAGCAAAGGGCTTCTTACAGCAGGAAGGAATTGACTACACAAAGGTATTTGCTCTTGTAGCTAGGATGGAGACCGTGAGACTAGTTACAACAACAATAGCAAGTTCTAAAGGCTGGAAGATGGTTCAAATGGATGTGAAGTCAACCTTCCTTAATGGCCCACTAGAAGAGGAGATGTACATTGTACAACCACCTGGTTTTGAGAAAGTAGGGAGAAAGCACCTTGTGTACAGATTAAGAAAGGCCTTGTATGGGCTCAAGCAAGCCCCTAGAGCTTGGAACAAGTTGATTGATGCAGTTCTAGCCAAACTGGGATTTGTGAAATGCACAGTTGAATTTGGTGTGTATGTGAAAAGTACAAATCATACAAACACACTCATTGTGTGCTTGTATGTTGACGACTTAATCATTACAGGAAATGAAGATGCAGAGATTGAAGAATTTAAAGAAAAGATCAAGGCTGAGTTTGAGATGACAGATTTAGGAACACTGAGTTATTTCCTTGGGCTGGAGTTTGTACACACTCACAGTGGAGTGTTTCTACACCAGAAGAAATATACACAGGAGATTTTGAAGAGATTCAAGATGGAAGAGTGCAATGAGGTTGTAATTCCAGTACTGCTTGGAGTAAAACTAAATGAAGAATATGAAGCTGAAGTGGTAGATGGAACTTTATATAAGCAGATAGTAGGGTCACTCAGGTTTTTGTGTAATAGCAGACCATATTTGAGCTATGGAGTAGGCTTAATCAGCAGATTCATGCATGACCCCAGAACACCCCATCTGACAGTTGCTAAACACATCCTGAGATATCTAAAAGGCACTACATATTGGGGAATTTTCTTCCCAAAAGCTGATGAGCAGAATGGAGCACTGCTGGAGGCATTTTCTGATTCAGATTGGTGTGTAGATAGAGTTGAGAGAAGAAGTACCTATGGTTACTTATTCAGATATTTGAACGCACCAATTTCTTGGTACTCAAAGAAGTAAAATGTTGCGGCCCTATCATCATGTGAAGCAGAGTACATAGCTGCCTCAGAAGCAGCTTGTGAGAGTGTATGACTGGAAGAAGTTTTGAAGGAGCTGAAGCTGAAATACACGAAACCAGTTCAACTCAATGTAGACAACAAATATGCAATCAACCTGTCGAAGAATCCTACACTACATGGAAGGAGCAAACACATTGACACGAAGTTTCATTTTTTTCGTGATCAAGTGAGTAAAGGGAAGCTGACACTGACTTATTGTCACACAGAAGAACAAACAACAGATATTTTCACTAAGCCACTGAAGCAAATAAGATTCGACAAGCTCAGGAAGAAGATTGGGATGACTAATCTAGGGTTTTTGGACTAAGGAGGGGTGTTGACTTTGTAACCAAAAAAAAAAAACTGTAATGGAAAATGTTTTTCTTTAGACTAACAGTTTTCTAAATTCTATACTAGAAACATAATTAGGTAGTTTAAATACTACTTAAATACATGCAAAATTGTGCGAATGTATAAAAAAAGGTTTTTTCAATATATTTATCTATTTCTTCTTGATAAAACGTGTTCCTTTGTTCTTGTTGTTGTATGTTGACACGAACATCTGCAAAATAAAGAAAATTACGGTTAGTGAAACAGAAAGAGAAAATTAATCGGTGAACGTGAAAGCAGAAATGTGTTTTATTGATGTGGTAGCATAAAGGAGTGATCAGTGAATTGAAGAAGAGGTGAAGCAAATAGGAGAAGAGAAGGGCTCCAGTATTCTAGAGAGAAAAATATAAAATTGTAGAAGAGAGAGAACTGAAAATAAGAAATGACGCGTGATAAGTGTGGCAGCGCAAAAGAGATATTTTTCTTTTCATTAATTTGAGCTAAAACTACTGTAGAAGGCCCAACAATTGGTACATGATCCAGTGGTTATCAATTCATGGATTCAATTCTCTACTTGGTTCACAAATTAAGACCCTACTCCATTTCATACTGCAAATGGTATGGGATTTTGGGATTTTGCTGGGCGTGAGCCTAAATTCAATCACCTTTTCAATGACACCATGGCTATTGACAGTCAATCGGTTTCCAGTATGGTAATTGAGAAGTGTAAGAGAGTGTTTGAGGGATTAGAATCACTGATTGATGTTGGAGGAGGAACAGGGACTATGGTTAAGGTCATTTTTAAGTCATTCCCACAACTAAAGTGCATTGTATTTGATCTGCCACATGTTGTTGGTGATTTGCAAGGAACTGAGAACATAAAATACTTTGGAGGGGATATGTTTGAAGCCATTCCTCCTGCTGATTCTATTATGTTGAAGGTAAATATATACTATCTAATTATCAATTATATTATCACAAAATGTTTTTTATTGTAGATAATAGATATTCGTCATACATCTAACTATTATGTCGGCAACCCCTTTAATTGTTGCAGTTGTGACCCTAAATATAATTTAAAAATATTATTTTGTTGTGAAGATTCTTATCATTGTTGCTTTGACATATAAAAGCAGTGGATATTGCATGACTGGAACGACAAAGAATGTTTGAAAATACTGAGTAATTGCAAGGAGGCGATAAGTAGCAAGGGCAAGGTTATCATCATTGAGATGGTTATGGAAAATAAGAAGGAAGACCGTGAATTAACTGAGACGGAGATTTTCTTTGATATGCAGATGATGATACTCGTCAATGGAAAAGAAAGAAACGAGAAAGAGTGGGCCAGCCTTGTTTTCTCTGCTGGTTTCAGTAACTACAAGATTACTGCTACTCTAGGTTTACTTTCTGTCATTGAAGTTTATCCAGAGTGTTACTCATGGACAAGCTATGTATGATTAACATAAATTTCCATATTAGTTTTTTTTTTTTTTCTGTTTTCATTTAATTTTCTGTTACTGTTTATCTTGTATTAATCAAACAACGTAGTTTGGAGAAAATAAAATTGATCATTTGGTCAAGCTATTGCATGAATTGCACCCTAATATTTCATTAATTATATATATAAACAAATAAAAACGTTGCACAATCACTACAAGAAAAAACCATTTTAGTGACCGAAAAAATCGGTCGCTAATGTCAAAAAATCAGTCACCAATCAGTTAGCGACCGAAATTAGCGATCGAAAGGCGTCATCGCAAAAAGCCAAGTCGCTAATGTGTTAGCGACCGATTTTCAATTCGGTCGCAAAATAGCGACCGAAATTAATATATCAAATTGGTCGCTAAATCAGTGATAAAGTTAAAAAAATAGCGACCAATTTAAATCATCGCTAAATCAATAACAAAGTTTAAAAAATAACGACCGATTTAAATCAATCGTTAAATCAATAACAAAGTTTAAAAAATAGCGATCGATTTAAATCGAGTCGCTAAATCAATAACAAAGTTTAAAAAATAGCGACCGATTTAAATCGGTCGCTAAATCAATCACAAAGTTTAAAAAAGTAGCGACCGATTTAAATCGATCGCTAAATCAATAATAGTTTAAAAAAATAGCAACCGATTTAAATCGATCGCTACATCAATAACAAAATTAATTATTTTTATTTATTTACATTTTTAATTATATTTATTATTTACTTCCCAATATATTATATTTTTTGAAGTTTAACTTATTAAAAGATTTATTGTCATTATCAGTGATTCGAACCTCAGTACAGTAGAGTTGGAGGCTGAAACTCCAACCACTCGAGCTACTAGGATATTTTAATAATAACTTACAAATAAATTATATTTATATACAAATAAATTTATATCCAGTATAAATATATAAATATATAAATATAAAATCTATAAATAAAAATATATTTATATATTTTAATATATATTTAAATATATATTTATATATTGATATATTTATATCTTTATATTTTTACATATATTTATATTTTTATATATTTATATTTTTACATATATTTATATCTTTCCATATTTATATATTTATATATAAAGATATTAGTTCTGTATACAAATAATATTATAATATAGTATATTATACTATTAGTATAGTATACAAATTATATATTAGTATAGTATAGTATACACATTATTAATTTTGTAATTTATATACAATGAAAATAATATAATGGTATATTAGTATAGTATAGTATATTTGTATTCTAATTTTTAATTAAATTAAAATTATACTAATAATGTATAATAATATATGAGGGGATAATATTGATATATTGATATATTTATATATATATATATATATATATTTATATATTTATATTTTGATATATTTATATATTTATATATTTATTTATATCCTTATACATTTATATCTTTATATATTTATATATTTGAAAAAAAAAATTAAATATTAAATTTTAAAAATAATATTATATTTTAAAAATAATATTATATTATTAAAAATAAATATTAGAAAAAGATTTAAAAATATATATAAATTATATTTACATGTAGAAAATATTAAAGATATATATTTATATCTTTACATATTTATATATTTATATCTTTATATCTTTACATATATTTATATCTTTGTATCTTTACATATATTTATATCTTTATATATATATATATATATATATATATATATATATATATATATATATATATATATTTATATCTTTATATATTTATATCTTTATATTTTTACATATATTTATATCTTTATATTTTTACATATATTTATATCTTTCCATATTTATATATTTATATATAAAGATATAAAGATATTAGTTTTGTTTACAAATAATATTATAATATAGTATATTATACTATTAGTATAGTATACAAATAATATATTAGTATAGTATACAAATATTAGAAAAGGATTTCAAAATATATATAAATTATATTTACATGTACAAAATATTAAAGATATATATTTATATCTTTACATATTTATATATTTATATTAAAGATATCCACATTTAAAACAATATTAAAAAAATATTAAAAGTTATACTTTAAATTAATGAAAATATTTTTAAAAAGTTATATTTATTAAAGTATTAAAAAATATTTTGTAATATATAAGTTAAAAAAAAGTATCATTTAAATTTTTTAAAATTATTATTTTTGTAATTTATATACAATGAAAATAATATAATGGTATATTAGTATAGTATATTTGTATTCTAATTTTTAATTAAATTAAAATTACGCTAATAATGTATAATAATATATGAGGGGATAATAAATTTAATCCAATTACATTTATACATATCCTTTTTTAACTTTTTTTTTCTTTTTAAACTTCTTACATTCTACATTATTTTTAAACTCTATCATTTTTACTATATTATCATCCTCATTTCCTCCCATATTCTATTTTATCTTTATAATAATTAGTCTTATTTTATAGAATACTTTATTTTCTATTTTTATTATTTATTTTCTTATAATTTAAAATAATTAATATTATTTTAACATTTATTTTTATGATTTTTACTATAATAAATCAAATTAAATGATTCGATAATATCAATTAATTAAAATCATCACATAAAAAATTTAGATAACTTCATTAAAATTATTAATTTTAAAAATACAAAATATATTTAAAAAAAAACTCAAATTATAGATTGGAAATAAAATAGAATAAACAAATACTCTTTACTTTATATTATATTTAAGTGTGTGCACAAATGTTGACCTTCTTAACTATAAAAAATAGTAGAAAAAGATAAAGATAGTATTTGAAGAAGTGAATTTTGAAGATAAAGACTATTTTTATATAAATTTATTCTAGTATATCAATTAACAATAATAATACATAAAACTTAAAAACTAAACTAAAAAAAGTAAGTTTAAATTTATAAAAAAAATACATTACTAAAAGTATCATATTATATTAATTAATGTTTTCATTATTTTCGTTAATTATAAATTAAAATGTGTTTCATAAATAAAATTATAAATTTAAATGTATTTCCACTTTTGATCCATCATAAATAAAAATAAATAATCTCTTATAAATGTTGTTCTATTTTAATCCATCATTAAATTTGTTTTATATACGAATTTGATGACTTATCATATTATTAAAAATTTGGATGAAATAATTATGTATAATACTTTTTTAGTATATTATGTTTTTAAATTTTTTAATAGAGAAAAAGTTTCAGAATTCAAAATATTAAATACTTTTAAATATTAAAATTGACTTTATAAAAAATTAGGAAAAAATAATTAATCCAAAAATATAATAATAATAAAAATATTATAAAAAAGAGTTCAAAAATGTATTATAATATTTTCGGTTTTAGTTTAATTATATTTTTAATTCTCAAAGTAGAAAATATATTGTAATTATATTAATTTAATAAAATATAATTTAGATTTTTAATACTAAAATTAAAATATTAAATAATAATAAATTTAATTCTTTAAATTTAGTATTTAGAAACAAAAATTATAGTTAGACTCTTTTAAAAAATTAAAATAAATATTTAAAAATAAAAATAAAAACTAGTATTATCTTAAATTTATTAAAAGTATAATTAAATCTCTATTTTCTTATGCAATTTTAGAAAAATTTTAATGAAAATTCAATATATAAAAAAGTTAAAATTTTAAAAAGGCACAACATATTATTCTAAAATATAATATATATATATATATATATATATTAGAAATTTATATTAATGAAAATCCAATATATATATATATATATATATATATATATATGATAGCGGTTCCACTGGAACCGCTCTTAAAAGTTAGCCTATAATAGCGGTTCCACGTTAATCGCTATCTAAAATATATTTTAGATAGCGGTTAACTTGAACCGCTATTATATATTTTCAAATATAATAGATTATTTGAAAATTTAATCGATCATAATGAAATATGTAGTGAGTTATGATAGCGGTTCCACGTGGAACCGCTATTATATGTTATATTATAGAAATGAAAATAATTTATACTTTGGAGAATATATATATATATATATATATATATATATATATATGTATATATTAAAATATAATTTATTTTTAAGTTGATAATTTTTATTTTTATTTATGTATATTTTATATATAAAATTAATTTAGAGTTCATAAATTATATATATATATATTAAAATATAATTTATTTTTAAGTTGATAATTTTTATTTTTATTTATGTATATTTTATATATAAAATTAATTTAGAGTTCATAAATGTAATTTTAATTTATGTAATATATATATATATATATATATATATATATAATTTATATAGTATATATAATTTATTTAACATTAAAAATAGTTATATTTTTATTAATTTTATAATTATAATTTTTTTTAAGGTTATAATTTTAAATATAATTTTTTTAACTTTATATTTATAATTTATATAATATATATAATTTAAAAATAATTATTTTTTAAATTTTAAGTTGATATATTTTTTTATTTATAATTATTTAATATATATTTGAAAAACTAATTGATTATTTAAAAATTAATCAATTATTTAAAAAAATAACTGATTCTCATCAAGTATGAAAAAATGAAGTATGAAAAAACTAATAGATTAATTTTTGAAATAATCGATTAGTTTTTTAAATAGTTAAATATATATATATATATATATATTTTATATATTATAGAAATGAAAATAATTTATACTTTGGAGAATATATATATATATATATTAAAATATAATTTATTTTTAAGGTGATAATTTTTATTTTTATTTATGTAAATTTGATATATAAAATTAATTTAGAGTTCATATATGTAATTTTAATTTATGTAATATATATATATATATATATATATATATATATATATATATATATATATAATTTATTTAACATTAATTTTATAGTTATAATTTTTTTAAAGTTATAATTATAAATATGATTTTTTAATTA